GAATCGTACCTCACAGGACGATCATTCAGTGTATCTTAGCTTGGACAATCCTCTACCGTGCACCATCTTGCCACAGGAGCCCCCCAGGGCTCTGTACTAGGACCTCTTCTCTTTACCATATACACCACCTCACTGGGTGAGATCATTTGATCACATGGCTTCTCCTACCACTGCTATGCAGACGACACCCAGCTCTTTTCTGCCATTTCCACCGGACGACCACACTGTCTCTGCACGAATAAAACTGTCTCTCTGACATCTCAAAATGGATGAAATCCCACCATCTCCAACTCAACCTCTCTAAAACTGAACTACTTGTCATCCCAGCAAAACCATCCGTACAGCACAATATCTCAATCCAAAATGACTTCTTATCTCTGGCTCCTTCAAATGCAGTTTGAAATCTGAGTGTTGTGATTGATGAACACCTGGCCTTTAAAGATCATGTTGCCTCTGTTGCTCGTTCATGCCGCTTTGCGCTGTATAACATACGAAAGATCAGACCATACCTAACACAACATGCCACCCAGCTCCTGGTGCAATCTACTGTCATCTCCCGCCTCCATTACTGCAATGCCCTTCTAACTGGTCTTCCAGGCTGGACTGTGAGACCTCTTCAACATGCCGATTATCTCTTGTAAGTTGCTTTTGACAAAAGCGTCTGCTAAATACATAAACATATTTTAGCTGTTTCCGCTTCCTTCGAGAGAAACGGGCTTCAGTTCTAAAGATAAAACGTCTCAAATCAGATTTTTATCAGTCAGTCGTGCAAGATCATGCACGATGGTACGGAGGAGCGACGATGTCCTCAGACGAGTGACGCAGAAGCGATCGTCTGAGTTTGAAGACTTTTCTTCACAACATCAGATCTTAAGATGTGAGATGCCTACGTGCAAAACTGGACAAAAGCTCCTAACGGTGCCGCAGGTACCTAAAATAATCATTTCCTTCATGTTTGTGTTGCCAGATAAAGTTCAATAACTGATTAACGGGTTATAACCTTTAGTTTGTGCACCGGCTAAGAGAGCATTGCAGAAAACGAGGTTTGTGGGTTGTTTTTGTCCACCTTTGTTCTCTCCATCGTTCAAATGTTAAATTTATGCCTCCAGCGTCTGATAAATGAGCTTAACCTTTATGTTTACTGTCCTTTGTGCTAACGCACCTCTCAGTGGGCCACAAAACGGACAGCTACGGAGAAACTACTGTGGCCGATTTCCCACCGTCGCCCACAAACTCCTGCACAAGAATACTCGCCCCTCCTGTTAAGAGAACATCTGAGAACTAATGAAAGTGGAGAGATCATGTGACGCTTGCAGCTCTGGTGCAACCCGCACAGCTGACTTCACATTTAACCCAGTGAACTGATCGGTCGACCTTCATCAGACGACAGTGATTTCATGATGCATCCTTCGGGCGGTTCGTCTCTAACTCAGATACTAGAGTGTGCACGTGCCCCTGGGATCGTACAAGATGACATCCACCCAGTTTCATCATCATCATCATCCTCTGCTGCCCTCCTGCTTGAGCCAACATGTGCACCACTGCCCTTTAATCCTCCAAACAAGCACCTCAGGAGTTACCAGCAACACGGACGTGTGCAGCAAACAGGAGTTTGTGCAGCTAATGAACTTCTACCTAAGATGATTCACACTTGCTTTGAATGTCACGAGATGGTGTTGGAGGATGTTTAGGATCCAAGATGCAGAGAACCAGATGAACGAAGCAGGAGGTGGATGATGAAAATAAAATCCTTTATTTAGTTGTAGTCCAAGAGGCAGGGAGCCAAAACCAAAAATACAAAAATACAAATATCCAAACTGAGTAGTCAAAAACACTAGAGAACTAGAAACACTGGAAACACTAGAAGCTAGGAACAGGAACGAGACGAGACTGACACGAACAATGGACCGACAAAACACTGGGACACAGACAGGGTTTTATACACTGGGGAGGATGAGAGGGAGATGACCTGCAGGTGTGTGGGGAGAGAGAGACCAGGTGAACTCAATTACTAATCAGGGAGGAAACTAACATGATCTAAGAATACAACCTAAAGACGAGAAGAGCAGCAAACATAACTAATAATCTAAGGGGAAAGAAAAACCTCAAACACCGATGGGAAGAACACACTAGAGAGACTAATAACATGAACAGCTGTAGCTAAAGGAAAATGACCTAAGAGAAAAACCTTAAGACCTGAAGGGCAGCAAACATAACTAATATTCTAGGGGGGAGCTGAAAACAAAGGAAAACATTACAAAAAGAAAAACTACAGGGGCGTGACTAAAGGGGGCCAAGGGAGCACAGGACCTGGGAGGGGGATGCCTGAGGAGGGAAACCTAGAGGGCTGAAGATCTGGGGGCAAATGGGGAACACCAGGAGACACATGAGGAAGACTCAGACAAGGACACATGAGGGTGCTAGGAGACACAAAAGGAGAATCTAGAGAAGGATGGAGAACACCAGGAGACACATGAGGGGAGACGCAGACGCAGACCATGACATTGAAAACGTAATTCCACCTTAAATGACTATAAATGAACTCTATAGCATCTAGTTTATGTGATGTTCCCCGTCTTCAGCCACCTGTTTCTGTCCATTGAACACGACCACGTTTCATTTTAGTCATTTACAATAAAGAACACAGGCAGAAGAGCAGAAACTGTTAATAAAAGAGCAAGAAGCCCTCAGAAATGAGAGGCTCTCACTCACAGCGACCTCATGCATGCATTTGTGGTTTATAGCTTGACATCCTGTTTGTAGCCCTTTGATGTTGACAGTGAGGGAAAAAAATTGTATACAAATGTGCTTTTTTCTGTTTTTTTCGTATTTTTATTTGAATCCGTCAGTTTTTGGGAGGTTTTTAAAGAAATATGGGCTAAAATGTGCTTTAAGTTATTAACTAGAGTGTCAAAGTGATCATCTAAATGGTAAATGGTAAAATGGCCTGTATTTGATATAGCGCCTTCTAGAGTCAAAGCGCTTTACAACACAATCATTCATTCACCCATTCACACACTTATTCACACCCTGGTGATGATGAGCTACGATGTAGCCACAGCTGCCCTGGGGCGCACTGACAGAGGCGAGGCTGCCGAGCACTGGCGCCACCGGTCCCTCCGACCACCACCAGCAGGCAAGGGGGGTTAAGTGTCTTGCCCAAGGACACAACAGCGACAGACTGAGCGGGGCTCGAACCTGCAACCTTCCGATTACGGGGCGAGCGCTTAACTCCCGTGCCACCGTCGCCCCCCAAACTGCTGGGGAAACTGCCCTAGACGTTGGGGAACACGCATTCCTGGGATTTAACTGATGCCTCGCTGACATTTTATCTTTTGGTGCCAAAGAAGCTAAAGTGAAACTGAATTTTTTCAAACATTGTTTTTTGTCTTTAATCCTAATTATTACTCAATAATAGCATGAAATTCAGTTTGTCACATGACCTGGATTCACAAGAATCACAAAAGACTTGATCTGTTCTGACAAGAAACCTCAAGAAGAGTTTTTATTTTCTAGAATATTTTTAGCCCATAATTTTATAGCAAATTCATTCAAATGACATTTTAGGACTCAAAGCTTAAAGTTTAAAGCCTCAGCTTGAGACGAAGGCATGACGACCGTTGACTAGAAAAGAAAATGAATTTGAAAGACCATCAGGTGTCCTAAACTCTGGCCCTGAAGCCCCACTCTCCTGCATGTTTTAGATATCTTCCTCATCTGATTCAAACACTTGAATTACCTGCTCATCTTTCTGCAGATGCCTGCTCATGACTCATCCATCTAAACCAGGTGTGTAAGCAGAGAAACATCTAAGACATGCAAGAGTGAAGCCACAAGGACAGCATGCTAAACACTCCTGAGACTAGACCAAAGCAACCGGCAATTAATGTCGTTTTGTGTTTCAGAATTGGAGAAAAGGGTTGATTTTATGTGATGGATTTACTCTGATAATATTTTGTTTCTTGTAAAATGTCTAATTATAAGCATTGATGATGGCAGAAACACCACATTTGGTTCAACTCTCTGCCAAGTTTCTGTTTTACATCTAAACATGTAACAGGAAACGAAACAGCACTAAACAGTGCGGGTTACAGAATGAAACTAATGGGGGGGGGGGGGGGGGGGTTACTATGAAACGGAAGTGAGTCGTGGAAGCAGGGGGGGTGTAGTGGTTGATGGAAGACCGCCATGGCTTCTCAGACTTCTCAGTTTGGGGTCAAACACACTGAACACTTTGCACAACAACTGGAGGATGTTGCAGAAACCAAAGTCTGCATTCCTGCTCCATGAGTGAATGTCACCAAGACATGATGGGACACATCAGGATGACGTAACAAGAAACATTTGAGGAGGAAACACGACTTCATCTCTTCAGGCTAAAACCAAATCTAATCCACCAGAACCTGACGAGTCAGAATCAAATTTAAACGATGTTATTTCAACCATAAAGCAACCTGTAGTTTTCAGGCTGGAACGCCCGATTGGTCACCTTCACCGTGAGGTACAACCTGGTGCTGACCACCAGCAGGCAGGGTGGGTTAAGCGGTCCAGAGCCAGGATTGAACCAGCAACCTTCGGATTGCTGGACAACCCGCTAAGCGACTGCTGCACAATTCATACAGAAGACCACAGCAAATGAACTGAAACGTGCACGCCCACTTCACAACGAACATCTTTAGCCTAGAACCTGAATCAGGCATATTTTAAGGTTTTGCAGCTCTTAATTGCTTTTCCATTAATTGTTCCTCTCCAGCAGGCTGTCGTGATGCTTTAATACCTTTATGTTCAACATGTTGACCTTTTGACCTCGAGTAAAACTAGATAAATTAGTTTTTGCACGTTTGAGATAACCACATCTCACCCAACAATAAAATTGGATGTTTGCCCCTGCATCTTTGAGGGTAGGAAAGCCCCCCTGTAGGTGCAAAGCATGCTGGGAAATTTTTTGTAAATAGCTCAAGTCATGTTGAGGCTGAAAGCAAACTCATGACTACAGCATCTATAAACATTTGACTTTATTTCTTTTCCCAAAAAAGTTATTTACATTATGTACAGACACACCCCATAAGAGCCTTCAACACTACGCTATATTACATCTGACGGGTCAGTGCATCAGTAATCTCAGCAGAAAGACCACTCTTGGTCACAGACACACACAAACACACAAATACTGCATCTGGAACAAACATGGGTCATTATGGGATGTGCCAATTAAATTATCTTGGTCTTGCAGTGCTTTTAATTTAGCTTTATAAATAAAATATTTAAAAAATACATACAGTACATCTATACCACTAACTGCCGACACGCCCACTGGCACAGGTCAGTGCTCTACTTCACACATTCAGGAACGTTCTGTAGTCGGTCCATCAGCCTCAACGCAACCGGACCGCTGCCAACACAAGCCTGGGCACCACTTGCAGCCTTCTCCGGTTCCAGACCCCAAAGCCAATTGAAGAAACATTCCAGAGTCCAGAAGACTGAGCCCGTGCCCCCCCACACCGTGTGCCGATCCAATGAAAGTGCTCAAATGGAGAGAAGGCGGCGCTCCTCCCCGATGGGTCCACCCGTGGTGACGGTGCATTGGTGATTGCTAGTGTGAGTCGTTACATGGGCAGCCTGTAGAGCAGACCGAGTTATTACTCAGGAACAAACACGTCATTATTTATAAATCACGTTTCATACCTTTGTCTTGGTTTCACTTCCCAGCCGTCTCTACATTTCACAAAAGTTAACGACTCCCCAGGTGAGATTTGGGCTTTAGAAAGGTCTTCTACACAGAACGTAAACCTGTCGGGTAAAAAAAATTAAAAACTTGTAGAATTCTTTAAATGAAAAATTAGCAATTTTACTCAATTTTGCTCACTTTTTCTGCGTTTCTCCAGCTTTCACGCGAATCCGCCGAACTTCCAGTACAGGTTTGGTAGCCTTGGTGTTCCAGTTCCACAAGGAGGACTTAAAGTACTTGAAGACGGAGCTGAAGGACTCGGACTGGCCCTCCCAGCTGAGACGAATCTTCAGCAAGTCGCCGATGTCCTCCTCAGTGAACACCAGGAACGTGTTTGTCAGATTCAGGCCGATTTGGTCTTCATGGCTGCGCAAGGAATGCATCCAAGTTAGCCTTGTGCCCTGAAGACCTGTTCTACCCGTTTATGGTGGATCATTTCTGCAAAACTTAAAACCCGACACATTTTAAAGATGGGAACCCGGTCAGAAGGACACTGCAGCGCAGTCTAAGCTTCGTGCATCATTCGTGCCAGTTGGAATACGTCTTTAAGATGTTCCAAACAGACAATCGTCTGCATTCCTGTGTGCATTCGTCATTTTCTGCACCGTCACTGGAAGGAGTGACAAACTGGTTCTGTAGGACAACTGAAGACAACGAGACTTACACAACAAAGATATTTCCCGTGTCACTGTGGGCGCCGTACAGCTTCACGTAGAAGGTGGGATCGGCGTTGTTGGACTCCTGCCTGTCAAACACGTGCATCTTCATCTGGTAGTGGTAGCCTTAAACAAGAAGTTACAGATTAAGCCCCGTGGGCGTGGACGGTAGCAGCTCCCGCCTGAATCACAGAGCAGGGTTATAAAACCGGGGCTGCCCGTCACTCGTGTGTACACAGAGTAGTAAGATAACACATCATTGCTGCGTCTTACCTCCAAATGGAGTGTTGGCTCGCGTCTTCAGGTACATTTTGCTGTTCCTCCTCTTGCGCATCTTCCTGGCGTTGTAGCCAATGTTGTTGCAGCGGTTTTTGCGGCAGCTGAGGCAGACTCCCTTCTTGAAGCGACCCGGACCGGTGCACTGGTAAGCGTAGCTCGCGTGCTCCTTGTTCATCAGGGAGTCCACAAACAAGTGCACGGCTCGCTCGTGCTCACACTTCATCACCTCCATGAAATCTGGATAGGGAGGTGAAAAACGTTAGATGCGATTCACATTTCACCCAAATCTCTCATTTTTTAATTATGGACACGTTTGGACCACCATTGAACACTTACTTCCTGCCACTGCGAGCACATCAGTAAACGAACAGCCAGGCTGCACATCTCCACCGTTGGGGTAGATGTCGATGTCTCCAATTGGCTGCTGGATCCCAATGCTCACACCCAACGCCTCTCGAGTGTAGGTGTGCAGAACATCCACAAAGTCTGCGTCGTCTGGCGACAGGCGTTGATGCTCCTCTGCACCTTCAAACATGGGTCCCGCTGGGTCCAGACCTACAAGCGATGAACCAAAGACTCAAACACCTTTCCTAAAAAGGAATCGTTAAACAGCATTGAGTCGCTTCTCTGGTTTACCAGTGATTCTGCCAATGGTTCCGTCCACAAACATCCCTGCATAGCCAGCAACGTGGGCGCCCAGACTGTAGCCAATCAGATGCACGTTCTCCAGAGGCAGCTGCAGCACATCCTGTCCAAAAAGACAAGAAGCACTCGTTTCAACAGCCGTCAGTGTGATCCTCAAGATGAGCAAAACGGAAATCCGGATTTCCCAAATATCAAATGCATGACTTGACTTCTTGCACGCATGCACACACACACGCACTCACGCACGCACAAGGCATCAAGTCAGCAAAGGTAGAAGAGTTTACATTCAGGTGTTGGTCTGGAAAATCGTAGGCATCCAATTAGTCAAACAGGCAAAAGCAGGAGCGCATTTGCATTTCAGATAATTGCTGCCTTTATCGGTCATTTCCTGCCAGAAACACCAATAAAGACTCGCGTGCCCTTTCACTGAAGCATCCTGCCTGTGTGCTAAAGCTGCATCACAGGTTAATGATTCACTAACATGAGATGTGTGTGTTTTTCTGTAGATATTTAGTTCCAGTGGCTGCAGACATGAATGACAGGAGGAAACATTTGGCATACCTGCAGCCAGTTGAGCAAGGCAGCAATGTTGAGGCCCACGCTGTGCGTGTGGTTGACGGCGTCCGGGTAAAGCTGCTGCGCCAGCGGGATCCAGTCCACCACCACCACGTTGGCTTCCTTCTCCCGCTCCATCACCGCCGACACAAGCTTCTGCATCCAGCTTTCAAACATGCCGCTCATCTGAGGAAAGGCGGACAGGAGTCAGAACAACTCGAGGATGCTTTTTCAAGAGTCAGGAAGGAGTCTGAGAACTCGAAGCAGGTGTGTACCGTCCAGCCGTGGATGATGAAGATCGTCTTGGCTGTAGCGTTGAAGCCACACTCCACTAAACAGGCCTCCCTTCCAGTCTGCAGGTAGCAGCCCTCTTGTTCCAGATCCAGACTCCTCCTCATGTTATACCTAATCACGCCATGTGGAGCCTCTCGGTTCGACTCGAATCCCTCATCTTCCCCTGAGGAAAAGAACACGTTGGATTAAATTTACACCAAGCAGATCATTCTGGATTTTTACCGATGAGACATAGGGAAGGACACCAAGAGGAGTCGGTTCATCCAGTTCTCTAGTAATTGAAGCTTCTGGTAGCTGGACTGAAGCCAGAACTAAAGCGCCTACAGCTGCAGCAGCTCTTGATGCCCAAAGTGTGCCAGTAAAGGGAAATTCTGACAGAAAAAGGGGTTTTAACGCATTAGTTAAAGCCATTTTCACAGAAAAAAACAAACATTTTGTCTTAATTTGGTCTTCAAAGTCCAGGTGAACCCAATTAAGACAAACCATTAACCCAACATGCCACAGCTGAGCCACTTCAGAGCTGAATGAGAGCCAGAGAGGGTGGATGTTGGGACAGTCAGACTAAATTAAACTCATCTAAGAAAAGATCACCGGGTGCGAGTAATTTCATTAATTAAGCCATTTAGTTTTTCTATTTTACAGTAAAGTCTGAATTGGCCTCCCAGTTTGCCCACCACGCGTTGGTAATTGATCACCAGGCTAAAGTGGGATCAGCTGAGCCGAAAGTAAAACGCGAAATCAGCGGAACAAGTTTCCAAACGTTCCCACAGACGTGGCGTTAGACTCCCTCTCCTGGGGGCGCTCCTAAAAAGGACACGTCCACTGGGAGGCAGCGGGATTCAAACCCACAACTGCTGGAATTACACTGGGAAGTGTGGGCATATAAAAGATGAAGCTGTGTCCAGATTGGGGCATTTATCCTCCACAGCGAGGGCGCACCAGCCAAAGAAAGAACAAAAGACGCACCTTTCAGAAGAGCGTTCTCCCCGCCGGCGGACAACAAGAACGCAGAGAAACACAGAAAAGTCCGCAATAAAAAACCTCCAGGATTCATTTCTCAGTCACAGACGAGAGCACTTTTAAAAAAAGAGGGGAAGATAGAGTCTAAAAGGGCTTGGCGGCGAATCCAGAAGCGACGTGAGCAGCCTGCCGGTGTGGTGCGCGCCTCCGGGAGTCCGGCTCCAGAAACCTGCGGCCGAGCGTGTCTTTTTCTGTTTTAAATAGTTTCTCCTTTCCAGTCATCTGATCATCGGCTGATCTATCGCGCGTCTCATTGGCCAAGCCTCCATTTGTTTACGATGAGAGGGCGTGGCAACGTTCATTGAAGTAGTAGTATGGGTGTGGCAGGATGACGCACGCAAGCATGGTGGCTTTGTATTGTTTGGTTTGGAAGTAAAGTCAGATGTTTCATCTTTTAACTCGGATTAAAACAAGCAGATGATTACAGCGTGACGTTTGGGCAATAATACGTTTTAAATCAGAGAAAACCTAAAAAATCATCCAGCAGTCATTTTTAAATGGCCTGTGTGTGTGTGTGTGCGCGCGCGCACGCGTGTGTGTGTAAACCTCACCATGAAAGCATCTCCTCTTCTTGGCTTGCAGCCAAACCATCAGCTTTAGCTCACAGGCTGAGTTCAATAGATGCAGAAATAGACACACAAAGGCTCTCCGCTACAATAAACCCTGTGTGTGTGTGTGTGTGTGTGTGTGTGTGTGTGTGTGTGTGTGTGTGTGTGTGTGTGTGTGTGTGTGTGTGTGTGTGTGTGTGTGTGTGTGTGTGTGTGTGTATTAATCCCACACCAGAAGGAAGTAGCACCTGCCACCCAGCAGCGCAGCTTTCACTCGTCCCTGCAAACAGAAACAAGGACAGCGGCTTCCAACTGGGTCACAAGAGTTCGGTGCCGCTGGGAGGTCAACATCCCATAGAAACAAGCATGTTTTAGAGGTTTCCCTGCTTCAGAGCGTCTGTTCAGCAGCTCACCGGGCTCTGCAGAATCACCTGCTGATTAAAATCAGGTGTGTTGAAGCAGGGAACCCCTTAAAACATGCTGGACAGCAGCTGTTCCAGTCCACTGCACAAAATGATGGAAAATGTGAGTTTTGCATCATTTTTATTACAGCTCTGTTGGTAATTTTCCCAATTTTGTGCACACGTCAACGCTTCTCTTCACCATTTCCTGCAAATGTTGTGATTTTTTTGGAAGACGCTCAAAAACGAACTCACACAAGAGATGAGCCTTGAGAGGAAACTGAGAACCCCTACTAACTTTTAGGGACTTTTCTCAACTCCATCGTGATTTTTTATTTGTTGGTGAAAGTCTCACCCTGGTGGAACCCCGGCCTAACATCGCCTCCTGCTTCCTTTAATATTACATCAGTGTTTGTGGAAGTCTTCACATATATTGGATGACTGTAGCTTCACGGTTTAAAATGATCAAAGAGCATTTTGGGACCACATTTTCAAATGCAAACATTAAAGAAATAAGACAATGATTCTTGTTTTTAATAACTAATCTTCAAATAACGCAACAGAAATATCTCTTGGGTTAAGATGCTCTTCGTGCTTCTAATGTTTAACTTGAGCAAAAGAAGAAGTCGTCCTGTGCTGAAAAACGACTGACGCACTTTTAATGGCTGAAATCAGATCTGTCGCTCTGGGGGGATCTCAGATTTTCTTTTCAAAACATATTTCAAATAATGTCATTATAAATGAAATCATCTTTCTTAAAGGAGGCAGTTGGAGCGAGATCCAAAATAACTGGTCCTATTTTTGTTCCCTTTGTATTAACAGTCTTACAAAGATGCACGAGGCGGCATCTCAGGAGGCGTTTGAAGTTCAAGTGATGAGATGGTTCATCAGTGACATTTATAAATAATTCCTTTATGAGCGCCAGTGAACTTTTTGTTGCTGACCGTGATGCAAAAGTTGCAAAAGATGGCGGGAGAGAGTGCAACCAGTTCCTTTTTCAGGCAGATCTTTGATAGAAACGTGCAACCAGAATGAAAAATGCTCTGCACAAAAACTTCACCTGGAGCTTCCCGTAGCACAGGGGTGGGCAATCCTGGTCCTCGAGGGCCGCTATCCAGCAGGTTTTAGTTGTTTACCTGCCCCAACACACCTGATTCCTGGATGAATCACCTGTTCAGCAGCTCATCAGGCTCTGCAGCAGCCTGTTAATCACTAGTAGATTCAAACCAGGTGTGTTTAAGCAGAGAAACAAGTAAAACCTGCTGGACAGCGGCCCTCGAGGACTGGGATTGCCCACCCCTGCCGCAGCATGTGGCCTACCTGGAAGGAATAAATAAAACATTAGCACCAAACATTTCTTCAAATGGAAGATGAATAAGTGGAATTTCTCAGTTTTTAACTGAACCAGTCCTTAAGGTGCAATCGCTTTCCTTGAAGTGACATTTAACCCAATAAGCCCTGTTTTTATATCTGAAATCCAAAAAGGGCTCAAGAAGCCAAACTCAACAGAGCTGGATTCTATAGATAAGAGACGGGAGGAATTCGGAGAAACAGAAAATCTATGTTCCTTTACCTTTACACCAGGGGGAGATTTGGGAAACTTAAGCAAACATTGCTGACATTTTTCTTTCTGCTCAAAATACGACAAAGTCACACCAGCTGAAGTCATACTGCTACTAAAAAATACATTTTGACCCAATAAATCCTTTAAAACCTTTTAAAATGCATCTTCTCTACTTGAATGTTGCAAAGCATCGCACACTTCAGGAAGGAAGAGGTTAAAGTCCCCGGTTTGGTGTTAATCACAAGGCAGCAGGGGTTTTAAATGTGTGATTTGGGGTAAACAAGAAAGTGGGATTTTGCTTGGTTTGTATAAATTTAGGCTTACAGAGCCTGGACTGACTTGCTTCTTTATTTCTGTTCCTCATCTCAGCGTGAGAGTAGCTGAAAAGTATTTAGTACCTAACCAGGAAAAAAAAGTACTTCTCAGAATTAGTCTGATGTCAGAAACTCCAAAGTCCTCCAAAGTTGAAGGAGCCTCCTGTAAAGGAGTATTATTCTTTCCAACCACGCTTATCCAGCTGCCAGCTGTGTTCAGCACTGACCTGTCTGTCCGTTCTACGGGACGGTCTGGCCTTGAACCACAGAGGACAAAGAGAGTGTTTTAGCTGTGAAACGTTCTCATTTCTGCAGTTTTTGTCAGAAAAGTTGCAGACAGCTGTGTGGCCTGATGCTTCAGGCTAGACTTGAGGTTTAAAGCATAATTCTACATCAACTAGAGTTTTAGTGACCAAAATTAGATTTTTTTCTTCTTAGCAGCTTAAGCACTGAAAACAAATAATGCAGTGAGGTCTCTGGTTCAACTTTTAGTTGTCCAGGCGTTCCCATGAGAACCTTTTGTGTTTGCTTGATGCTCTGGTTCTCCGGTCCTCTCTGGGTTTGGAATCTGGAGAAACACTTCTGATCAAAGAAAAGTCTATTAAAGAAACATGTGACCCCAATTATCTCTTACATACTTCACTGATAGGCCAGTTAGATGATGGCAAAATAAAAAAGAAACACCAAAAGAACATGTTTTCCTTTATATATATATATATATATGCTATGCTAATATACATGGAAAAACCCATAGGAATGCTAATGCTAATATCACCGATTACATTCTTACAAATTATGAATTAGAAACGTGCTAAATGATTACATTTGGAGTCTAGCAGAAAGTAAAACTACCATGGAAGACAAAACAACCCGTGTTAAAAACTGAATCAACAGCGCCCCCGTGCGGTCAGAGCAGCACCGTGCTGGACAGTGACACAGCAGCCGGGGGGGGGGGGGGTGGGGGGGGGGGCTAAGAGAGCCAAACCGGATCCTTCATGAGGGAAGAGGCCAGGGACAGCCACCCAGCCCCGGCTTCTCCTCTCTCCTCTCATTTGAACTCTAAATTACTGTCCCGGGAGCCCGAGCGGGGGGCTGAGTTTGTGTTCGTAGGATGTCCCGTCATGAAGGTAAGAATAATTGTTAACACCGAGCCAACGGAAGCTCAGAATTAGTGACCAAAAAACGTTGACAGTGCACCGCGAGCTAACTCTAGCTAGCCGACTAGTTCTTATTTTGCGGCTAACACTGGCTATTTGTAGCTGCAGGGTTGCAGTTAAATTGCATGTGTACGTCACCCAAATGCCCGTCATAATAAATGGACCTGCGGTTACTGTTGTGTTATTTTTTCAAACTCCTACTTTAGTCAGCGCTGTCACACAGGCGGAAGACGCTAGTGAATGTTAGCTAAGTGCTAGCTAGCTGTGTAGTAATGTTGTTGACCGTTGACGAGCATGGGGGAGTGCCGAAAATAGGCAACATTAGGGGATAGTGAATGGATGGCGTTGAAAATGTCGTTTTTTTGGGTTGTCTTAACTGGTTTAGCTTCCTCTCGGGTAAAAGTTGGCCTCTCGATTTCAGTTTCGTAAGCTAACAGATTGCAAACAATCTCATCGTCCTTGTCGCCAACCTTGCTGGAGTTGCTTGTTTGTGTTTTAGTAATTATTTGTTTGGCTGCAGAGGTTAGTCGGGCCCTGGGTGGCCTGTCTTCCCCGTTATGTTTGTGTTGTTAACTTTGCTGCTAGTTGTCGAGTTGTTTATCCGCCAGGCCTGAGGAGTAGTTGGTGCTTGGGTTCTGAGTGGAAATATGTGGGACTTAAGACAGTCTAATGTCGCGGCTCACAAGAGACTGCACGTCTGTCACAGTGATCTCTAACACGCAGGCTCCCGCTGAGCCACGTGACACATTTTGGATGGACTGGATTGTTTTGATCTGATTTTTCAAGTCCGGTGGATGAGTAAATATTAGCTTGCATCTCTCAGGGAAACCAGATTGCATTCACAAGTGTGCAGTTACCAGTTGAGTTTATTAAAGACTAACAAACTGATCATTAAATAGATTGCATACCCTTTTCTAACCTCTGGTGTTTGATTTTTTCTCCTCCAGGTGTGAGCTGTGATGCTTGTTTAAAAGGAAACTTCAGAGGTCGCCGGTACAAATGTTTAATTTGCTACGACTACGATTTGTGTGCATCATGCTACGAGAGCGGTGCGACAACAACCAGACACACCACAGAACATCCAGTGCAGTGTATATTAACACGAGTTGACTTTGGTAAGTAGTGCTGAGGTGTGCATTGGACTTGTCACGGGCAGATTGAGGTGATGGAAATAAGAGTTTTGGGATTTTCAGGCTTGCCACAAAGACTTTGGAAATGAACTGAAACTTATTTTGTAAACCAGTCGTTTGGGGTCTCTGAGTTGTCAGAGAAGACCTTTTGCAGCTCAGTCACATATTCAAACATGCTGGGTTGGTAATCAGAATTACGATCTAATATTTTCTAGACATGAACAAGCTTACGCAAGAGTTCTATGTGTTGTTGGTGTGTGATCTGTCACTCTTGAGCTTTTCATTTTCAGTAGTCTTCTACGTCTGTTACCCATTAGCTTCTGGCAGAAAATAGATGAGGAAAGGCTCTGATTAGAAAAGCTTGACAGATCAAAGTCACACTGAAAATTCACCCGGTACATGACGAGGAAGGATGTTGTTGGTTTAGCGTTCAGGAAACGACGGAGAGCATCTCAGCCACTAGAAGCTAACCATTCGCATTACCAACTCCACCACATGGCAGGACTCCTCCAGGCTTGTTTTATTGGAGATAGCACATCAGCGTTGCAAAGCAAACTGAGTCAGTAGTGAAGTTATGTTGCTGTTTGCCAATCAGAGGCGAGATCTCCGTATATCACAGTGTTTCCCTTACATAGGCGTAGCCGTGGCGGTCCACCACAGCTGAAATCCCAGCGCCACGCCTGCAAGATCCTGTTTTATAGATTTATTTTTCCCCGCTGTTTCCCGAAGAAGCAGCGGGAACTACTCTGTTGATGCTTGTGATCACAGCCGGCAGGCAGCGAGGAGGAGGAGGCAGGGCAGGGTGGTTACAGCTAGGGATGAGCCACGGATAAAGCATTTTTGACGAATACGAGCATGAAACGAGTAAAACTCGTAAATATCTGTAATCGTGCTGAAGGAAAATCCTCATTGGGTAACTGACTGCCTTCACGCTCTGTGATTGGCCAGTCACATGGAGCGCCCGCCCCTCCCTACATACAAAACTCTGCTCTGGCACACACACACACACACACACAGTAATGGATCTCTGTGCTTCACTGTTGCTCACGTTTCTTCGGTACTCCCTAGGTTTTCTTCAGCTCGCCTCTTTTTCGGTTGAATATTTAAAGTAACTTCTTTCGTAACGTACGTGGTGCATTTGACAAGACAGAGCTGAAAACGGCTCGTGCTGCGTCGGTCACTGCCTCCGCTCCGGTTGGGTTTTCAAAATTATTTTACCCCCCTCCCCCTCTTTCACACACACCTTAATCAACATTGTTTTGTTTAACTGTGTGTGTGTGTGTGGGGGGGGGATGCCAACAACGTTAGGAAAAAATCAGTTGAATCAAATAAAAATAAAATGGTTCTAGTATTTCATATTTCCTAGTTCCTACTGCATGAGTTCAGATGCATTCATTCATGCACTTAAATATTAATGTTCAGATTTTATTGAAAAACTTGTTCTGTAATAGTTCCTTTACTACATTTCTAGGAGAAACACTGTCATGATTATTCATGAGTAAAAATCCAAATCTTTTTCGTTTTCTGGCCCCGTCTTCTGCAACTAACTTCTAATTCCTGAAATGGGAGCGCCAGAGCTTTTTTTCCACAGAGAACAAGAAATGATGAATTCATTTCTAGTGGAGACCAGTGCAGATTTATTAAATATTTGTTCTTTAATGTAGAGGAGTAAAATCTTTTAAAGGTCTTTAAAAAGTACTCCGTGTTCCACAGCTAATCGTGTTTATAAACGTGTAATAACATCGTTTTGAATTCTGTGGCTGCTGGTTTGTTGAATAATCATTTACTTTGTAATTAAGTGTTTTTCGGGTTAATTAATGTGGTTAAAAAGGAAATGCAGAATTCTAATGGTACTGCTAAAGACTTCCTGAATGTACTTTTTTATATCGTATCGTCCCCGTCAGAAAACTCTGAAACGGCGTGCTTTTGTTTTGGGCCTCATCGCCCATCCTCCTACTTAAAATCACAAATATTTAAATAATTGATCTCTAGATCTTTGGTCCTTATGTGATCGAAGACCTCGCGTCAGTTTCAAACAGGTGAAGGAATCCGGCATACATAGTAAGAAAGTGAAAATTAGGCACCAATCTAAAAGGTATTTACTTATGTAAACTTGATGTTTAGCATTTAATATATTTAATATTTATATATATATATATATTAAATATATTAAATGCTATTTTCCTGGTTGAACTAAAACCGATAACATTCACTGGATTGTTTCTGGTCTTCTGCACATCTATGGCGTGTTCACAGATGGTTTGCTGTAGGTTTGTAGCGTGAAACAAAGCTAAGTGTACCTGTACTCCCTCTCAGACCTGTACTATGGTGGAGAAGCCTTCTCGGTGGAGCAGCCACAGGCCTTCACTTGTCCCTACTGCGGTCGGATGGGCTACACGGAGAGCTCTCTGCAGGAGCATGTGGCTGCAGAGCACACGGAAACCTCCACAGAAGTGGTGAGTGGGTGCTAAAGTTCACATAAACAAGGCCAACCTGGATCTGATGTCTGCAGAGCAGCTGACTGGTTTTGTTGCATGCACGAGAACTGGGTACATAAAACCAGCGATGGAGAATAACTCGTGCTTTTGTAGGTCTGAAAAATCCTGCAGGTGTTTATTTTCATGTCCTTTTGTTGTTTTAGAGCACAATGGTGCGGCAGCGCTCTGGTTGATGAAAGGTTTAGTTATTACACATGAACAGTAAATGGTGTAATTAGAGTAATGAATAATCTTCGTGCTGTACAACAGTCCAGCCACACAAGCAGGTTTCTGCCGGTCGGTTCTCATCTATGCAGCCGCATTCTGACCAGGAAGTTTAAACACCATGCAAACAAAACTTGGAGCAAAACAAATGGTAAATGGTCTGTATTTGATAAAGCGCCTTCTAGAGTCCTGGAACCCCCCAAGGCACTTTACAACACAATCAGTCATTCACCCATTCACACACACATTCACACCCTGGTGGGGATGAGCTACGATGTAGCCACAGCTGCCCTGGGGCGCACTGACAGAGGCGAGGCTGCCGAGCACTGGCGCCACCGGTCCCTCTGACCACCACCAGGAGGCAACGAGGGTTAAGTGTCTTGCCCAAGGACACAACGACAGACTGAGCAGGGCTCGAACCTGCAACCTTCGGATTACGGGGCGAGCACTTAACTCCTGTGCCACCGTCGCCCCATAAGAACAAACCAAACTGATGTTGATGTTAATGCAGAGAAGGATTCTCCAGAGAATCAAGAAAATGATGGACAACCCTGAGCATTCTCTTCACAAGACTGTCCGACAACGGAAGAGTGTCTTCAGTCAGAGGCTTCTTCAGTTTGGCTGCAACACTGACCGCTACTGGAGATCCTTCCTGCCAACAGCCATTGTAATATACAACAACTCTTTGATGACTTGATTATTATTATTATTCTGAATTACTACAGCAATCAGTTTCCCTCTGGGATTAATAAAGTATTTTTGAATTGAACGAGACTGCCGTGACACGAGTTTATATTTGAAAGTGGTTTGAATTTTAAACCAGAGGCAGCTGGATGTTTATTTCTGCTAAAGATGATGTTAATAAAGATTTGTTTCATTGCTGCTTTAGATAGGAGAGTTGATGCTAAACGTTTAAGAAGTTACAACAAAGAATACAAGTCAAAATGCTTCAAAATTAAAGAAAAGCTGATTATTGTAGATAAACTCTAGTAGATTTGTTTGCTCTCCTCCTCTAGATCTGCCCCATATGTGCAGCGCTGCCAGGTGGTGACCCGAACCATGTGACCGATGACTTTGCTGCTCATCTCACACTTGAACACAGAGCTCCAAGAGACTTGATATCCTTTTCTAGGAGGAATGAGCAGCTGCAGGAATTACAGCTCGTTGCAAAGCTTCCGTTGTTTTTTAAACGTGTCATTTTTCCAGTGATCACTTAGTGGCTTTAAATATAAGATAATATAGTATAATTACAGCAGCACTGAATAAGTTTCCTGCTTCTCCCTCCTACTGATTGAAAGCTGAATTACAACAGTCGTAAACAACCCTGCTGTAGCTCGTGCTAACAACAAGCAAACGCTAACATGAGCTAACCGATACTAAATAAGCCACAAAGGGAAAATATCCTCACTGCTAGACAAAAAATATAACTTACAAGACCAGTAACAACAAAGCCAGGTCACCATCAGTCTGATTTCGTAGCCTCCTTCAGCTCCCTCAAACGAGTGTAGGCCACGCCGATGTTCACTCTGGCTTTAGCTTTGCCTCCTAAACATTAGTCTCTTTTACTTTCAGGCGCCGCCATGATGTAACATAAAAAGCTAAATTCTTCTTGTGCTTTTTAAATGATGGTGGGCAAACTGAAAACGCTATCTGCTAGGCAGGTTCATTCTGCTTTCGTCCGACGCCGTGAGATGGGAGGGGAGTGCACATGGTTCGTTCTGCTGCTGTCTGACAGCGGAGGAGGGGTGCGCGGCTCGTTTCGCTGCCGAGCGTTGCCCGTGACTGCGGGGTAGGGGAGTGGATGCTCGGTCTGGCAGAGGACCGAGCGAGGCCTGGCGGCCTGCCAGACTTCAAGAGCGCTGGGGGAAACTGGGTGTGGCTTTAAATTCGGACAGCACAGAAAAGTCTTGTTAAAAAATCATTTTTTTAAATTTCTGCTAGGGAATAGATTCTGTATGAAGAACCAAATTGGAGAAAAAAATGCAATTTTTGGGTTTTAATTTGGGAAGTTCTGCAGTTCTGGTGGTGAGCTGGATCAGATGGCAGGGGAAGATGCCGCGTAGACCTGGCAGACCCAAACGCATACTGAGGGTCTGCTGGGAACGCCTGACAGAAGAACCTGTTAAGACGGTCTTCAACTCCCACCTCCGGCAGAGCTTAGACCGCGTCCCGAGAGCAGTGGGGGACATCGACTCCGAGTGGGTCTTGTTCCACTCTGCGATTGTTGAGGCGGCTGTTGCTAGCTGTGGTCGCAAGGTGGCCAGTGCCAGTCGTGGTGGCAACCCCCGTACCCGCTGGTGGACACCAGAGGTTCGGGGAGCCGTCAGGCTGAAGAAGGAGGCCTACAGGGCGTGGCTGGTCTGTGGGTCTCCGGAGGCAGCAGACAGGTACCGGATAGCCAAGCGGGGTGCAGCAGTGGCAGTTGCCGAGGTAAAATCTCGGGCGTGGGAGGAGTTTGGTGAGGCCATGGAGAAAGACTATCGATCGGCTCCAAAGAGGTTCTGGCAAACTGTCCGGCGCCTCAGGAGAGGAAGGCAGCAACTCGCTCACATTGTTTACAGTGGGGATGGGGAGCTGCTGATGTCAACTGAGGCTATAGTCGGATGGTGGAAGGAATACTTTGAGGAGCTCCTCAATCCCACCTACGCGCATTCCGAGGAGGAACCAGAGCCGGGAGGCCTGGGGATGGACTGTCCAATCTCGGGGGCAGAAGTTGCTGAGGTAGTCAAACAACTACACAGCGGCGGAGCCCCAGGGGGGGATGAGGTTCCTCCTGGGTATCTCAAGGCTATGGATGTTGTAGGGCTGTCGTGGTTGACACGTCTCTGCAACATTGCGTGGTCATCGGGGGCAGTTCCTGTGGAGTGGCAGACCGGGGTGGTGGTCCCCATCTTTAAGAAGGGTGACCTGAGGGTGTGTTCCAACTATAGGGGGATCACACTCCTCAGCCTCCCTGGAAAGGTCTACTCCAAGGTACTGGAGAGGAGGGTCCGATCGATAGTTGAAACTCAGATAGAGGAGGAGCAATGTGGTTTTCGTCCTGGCCGTGGAACTGTGGACCAGCTCTATACCCTTGCAAGGGTGATGGAGGGGGCATGGGAGTTTGCCCAACCAATCCACATGTGCTTTGTGGATTTGGAGAAGGCTTATGACCGTGTCCCCAGGGGCACCCTGTGGGGGACGCTCCAGGAGTATGGGGTGGGTGGCTTTCTGTTGAGGGCCATTCAGTCCCTTTACCAGAGGAGCGTGAGTTTGGTCCGCATAGCCGGTAGTAAGTCGGACCTGTTCCCGGTGAGGGTTGGACTCCGCCAGGGCTGCCCTTTGTCACCGGTTCTGTTCATTACCTTTATGGACAGAAGTTCTAGGTGCAGCCGTGGTGTGGAGTGTGTCGAGTTTGGTGGCAGGAGAATCTCGTCTCTGCTTTTTGCGGATGATGTGGTCCTCCTAGCTTCATCCAGCTCTGACCTTCAGCTCTTGCTGGGTAGGTTCACGGCCGAGTGTGAAGCAGCTGGGATGAGGATCAGCACCTCCAAATCTGAGACCATGGTTCTCGACCGGAAAAGGGTGGCTTGCCACCTCCGGGTCGGGGGAGAGGTCCTACCTCAAGTGGAGGAGTTTAAGTATCTCGGGGTCTTGTTCACGAGTGAGGGTAGGAGGGATCGGGAGATCGACAGGCGGATTGGTTCGGCGTCTGCTGTGATGCGGACGCTGAGCCGATCTGTCGTGGGGAAGAGGGAGCTGAGCCAGAAAGCCAGGCTCTCGATTTACCGGTCGATCTACGTCCCAATCCTCACCTATGGTCATGAGCTTTGGGTAATGACCGAAAGAACAAGATCGCGGATACAAGCGGCCGAAATGAGTTTCCTCCGTAGGGTGGCCGGGCTCAGCCTTAGAGATAGGGTGAGGAGCTCGGACATTCGGGAGGGACTCGGAGTAGAACCGCTGCTCCTCCGGATCGAAAGTAGTCAGTTGAGGTGGTTTGGGCATCTGGTCAGGATGCCTCCTGGACGCCTCCCCGGGGAGGTGTTTCGGGCATGTCCTGCCGGCAGGAGGCCCCCGGGTCGACCCAGGACACGTTGGAGAGGTAACATCTCCAATCTGGTCCGGGAACGCCTTGGGGTCCTGCCGGAGGAGCTGGTGGAGGTGGCCGGGGAGAGGACGGTCTGGAGCTCCCTAGTTGGGATGCTGCCCCCGCAACCCGGACCCGGATAAGCGGAGGAAGACGACGAAGTTCTGCAAACAAAAGGGTGTCTCGTCCTTTTTACGGCGTTCTCACGGACTTTTCTATTGAATGCTGCCTAATTATGTCCTAGAACGCTTCATCCCACTGAGTTAGCATCTAACCTGCCTGATTGTGATGGTTCTGATCTGCAGACCGAAGCAGAAGGAGTTGGTTTGCTTGTGAGGAACCAGCTGAAATACTCCAAGTCTAGAATAGCCTCGGGACTGACGGCAGCAGTCTGGCGGTCTATTTATAGATTACTCTGAACAAATGCTACAGAGAAAACAACAGAGATGAAAATACAGCTGAATCAAACTCAGAGCTTTAGAAGATGTACGCCGCCTGTTTCCTACAGACTCCTGAGAGCGTCGTGCAGATGTGTCTGCAGATGTTCCCAAATCTTAAACCTAGTTCTAGTTTCTCAGAATCTTGGTTTTAATTAAGATTTTTGGTAAAACGAGATGAAAACACCACACAGCGGTTCGGGTTTGTTCCTTGACGACAAGCGTTACGACGAGTCCAGCGGGGTGCGGCACGTGAGAAGGATGTTTCACCCCAGTCGTGGTCTGGGGGGGCCACGGGCCCGAAGGTCCAACATGCATTTCACCAGCAGCACCACAGGGGGGCTCTCAACCAGTCAGAGCTCCTCACAGAGCAACTACAGCAGAGAGGCCATGGACCCCATAGCAGGTCTGACACACACACACACACACGCACGCATGCACGCACGCTCAGCTCAGCTCATACACTCACACACACGCACGCACACAAACACACACACGCACGCACACAAACACACACACGCACGCACACAAACACACACGCACGCACACACGCTCAGCTCATACACACACACACACACGCTCAGCTCATACATTCACTCACACGCTCAGCTCATACACTCACTCACACGCACGCACACACACACACACACACACACACACACACACACACACACACACACACACACACACACACACACACACACGTTGCTTATATTAAATCTGAAGTAATCAGAATGGGATTCAGTTGCCATGGTGACTGTTTATGCTGTTTGCTCCGGTCAGAGCTTGGTGTTGCGTCCCCTCCAGCGGTGTTCTAGCGAGGGTCTGTGTTCACACCAGCGTCTGTTATGATCTGATGTTTCATACGGGTGCTGCTGGTTCACGTTTCTGATGTTTAGCTCTTAAGTGGCTGATTTTCGGGGTTTAAACGAGTGAATAATCATGTTTGTTTGTGAGCGTTCATTCGGTGATGATGATGTTGGCATCATCTTTAATCAAAGCCTCGGTTTCCAACGTCAGTCCCGTCTGTTTGTTCCAGAACTTCTGTCGCAGCTGTCGGGGGTGCGGCGCTCGGCGGGGGGCCAGCTGAGCTCGGGTCCTTCTGCCTCGCAGCTCCAACAGCTTCAGATGCAGCTCCAGCTGGAGCGCCAGCAGGCCCAGGTGGCGCGTCAGCAGCTGGAGACGGCACGGAACGCCACGCGGGGCAGCGGCCGGGCCAACGCCATCCTCAACACGAATTCGGCCGCTGCAAACCCCAACCCCAGCGCCAATCACACCACCAACCCCAGCCCCAACCCCGGCCCGACCGAGCCCAGCACCCAGCAGACTGCTCACAGCTCCCAGTTTCTACTCAGCAGGTAGATGTTTAACATGAGCCTCACCTGTAGGTGGCGCCAACTAGCATCAGAGGGGCTGTAGCTGCCTCCTCCCTACAGGATAAAACTGAGCAGTTAACGATGCTGTGATGTCATCAGGTAAGGCTGCGCTGCTAACCCGTCCACCTGTCTGTCGCAGGCTGAGCGAACCCCGGCTGTCTGAGGCAGAGCGGCAGGCGTGCGAGGCCCAGTGGGCCGACCGGAGCCTGTTCGTGACCGAGCTGCTGCTGTCCACGCTGCTGCCCGACGAGGACGCCTCCACCTTCTCATCCGATGACGAGGACGATTGTCACGCCTCGTTGCGGAACTTCGCCGACTTTGAGGCGATGGGCTGCGTGGAAGTCATGACCTTAGATGTGGCACTGGAGAACCTCAACCTCAAGGAGACGAGTCCCGCTACCAAGACGACAAAAACGACGGCCAAGACGGCGCCAACGAAGAAAGAACCCCCTGCGCCGCCCCTTTGATGACATGGCCCCTCCCTCCCCTGAAAACACCGTTGTGACTAGCTGACTGCTCTGTCGGTCCGACTGCCAATGGATGAGGAGAAGACTGCAGCTGTTTCCGGCTCTTGGTTTGTTTTCTCAGTGATCGTCTTCAGCTGTCGCTCCCCACTCCAGCCCCGTTTTACGTTTGTGTACGTCGGATAAAAGTAGAGACGAGTGAATGTGGCCGCGAGAGAGAAAACGGAAAAAAGACTTTATAAATATATTATAGAAGAGTCTATATGAAAGGAGATGATCAGTCCCACTCGCCCCGCCTTCCCCCTCCAGCCGCGAGCCGCCACACTCACCCACGAAGAGCTCTCCGGTTAAAGCGCGGCTGTGTATTTATAGATGGTTTACCACGACTTTAGCATGAGCTGAAATCACCATGCGTCCATTTTTACCTGCAGTCACCAGGCGAGGGGGGGGGGTGCTACATCGCTGGCATGTCTCCAACACACACACACACACACACACACACACACACGCACACCTTTACGTCCAGTCTCAACCCCTCCCCTCCCGTTTGTGTGACGTCACCTGTTTGTTGGGGGTCATGTGACCTGCCTTATATCAGCTGTGGGTTTTGAATGGCGTATCCACGTGCGTACACTACAAACCGACACACCTGGGATGAGACGACGACCTCCAACACGAAGAAGCACCGCCCTGCTGCTCCAGCTCCCCGTGGTCTGACGTTAACGTCTCCATCGCTCGTGAAACACAAAGAAAACTCGCAGGAGAGGGGCCCATCGTGCTCATTTCATTAAATTTCTCTGAAACAACAAAATAAAGTATCTTTGTGAACCTCCACTGGTAACTGAAGAAATGCAATGTATGTTTTTTGGCTTCATCAGACGAGCCAAACGACAGGGTGACCTTTCAGTTCGGAGGACAATAAAAGTGTTTTGGATGGAAATGAACTAACCCAGTCCTGCTCTCCGCTGTGTTTTTATTTTTCTGTAGCCAACTCCTCGCTGGCTAGCGTGTAGAAGCGACTTCAGTCTCGTTAACCTGAAGCACGTCCTCGTTTCTAACCGTTGGAGCGAGCTCCTACATCAGCACAGCTGCAAATAACCCGAAAAATCAGTGTAAACCTCTTGTTTTGAGTTTGCATCGGTCTGAATCCTGATGGGATCCATTATGTTGGGAAGGAGCTTCATAAACACCTGAAGGGCTTTCTGGTGCCAGTTATGATGAAACGACTAAATGCCACCTCCCGCGTACGAGCAGGGCCTGTTATTAAACCTTTAGAGGGCGCCGGGCTGCAGGAAGGTCACGGTTTCTGCTGCTTGGTGGTTTCTGATTTATCCCACGCGTAATGAAAACCGCCGTCCTGCTGAACCTCAAGCTGTGTGCCGGCATCAATCCAGCAGCTTTTTATTGTTGCTAAAGAGACGTTTTAAATGAAAGCCAGCAGAAACGCCGGTGGGAAAGTAAGAGTTGAGTCTGAATTATCGGAGCCCTAAAACCTGGAAATAAATTCACTCAAGACTTTATAGAGAGCAGAAAGTGAAGTGGTCGGGTTTTACGGACCCATCGGGCTGGTGCCGCCACAGCAGGCCCGTCCAAAAGACGGCCGAGTGCATTTCTAGTGTAGCAGGCCGTGCATAATCACTTTTTATACGAGAACTTTTTGTACAAATATAGAAAAATAAACTAATTTTAATTCTAAAAAGAAAAATGTTGCTTTTCATAACCAGTAAGACCTTTAAAATGATGTTGGCCCTCGTCTTGAAAAGATTGGAGATGTGTGTTCTAAAGGAATAATAAAGGTGACATTTTCACTTAAAACACGGATTAAAACCAACAGTATTATGGTTTGTATGCAGAGCAAATCAGATTTTTGTCCTTTCATCTTGCTGATAAAACGAGTGATTTTCAGTTGTAGCGAAACTATTAAAATGTCTTTTTTGCGAAGACTAAACCAACGCAAACTTCACTTATTGAATAAATTATAATTTAGTAAAAAACATACAAATCTTTTAAAAGTATTCAAAATTAAAATAACATGTTTCTGGCTAACTGGATATGGACTGTGTTTGTATAGAGCCTTCTTAACCCCCCAAGGCTCTTTGCATCACAGGCATTCAGACGCTGGTGATAAGCTACAATGTAGCCGCAGCTGCTCTGACAGATGTGAGGTGCCGCAACCACCACCAGCCAAAGTGAGTTAAGTATCGTGCCCAAGGACACAACAGCAGCATTCTCTGGTGGGAACCGGGATCAAACCTGCAACCTTCCGATTCCTCCACCTCCTGCTTTCCCACCCATTTATGCTTTAATCGGTTTCTAAAATGACAAATATATATATATATATATATATATATATATATATACAAATATATATATATATATATATATATATATATACAATTTACTAAATTCTCCTCTTGCATGAAGTAAATTTAGTGAAAAATCTAAATGATCAACATTCAGCCAAAATAAGACGCCACTCCAAAGGTTTTGGGTATTCTTTGTAATTTTAATTCCCATAATTGTTTAAATGTGACATTTTTTTTTCCACTAAAAACCTTAAATAAAACATTACAGTACGATATATGCAAATCAGAGGAGCTGTAGGGTTTTGTAGAAGCAGGCTACAGTTTCTTTTGAGACATTTTATTATTTTTTTGTTTTCATTGACTGGACAGTAAAGTAGCAGGAACAGTAAAAAGACATCACGGAGCTGTAAAGCCTGCAGGCCGGCCAGGGAGCGCATCCCAACACAAAAACAACCATTAAAACCATCTTATCACAAAGAGAGGACAGCCATCACCTTGGGATGGAGAAAAGCTCTCCACTGCTGAGGTGAGCGCTGCCTGCACGGACAAGAGGGGGCGCTACTACACCAGTGCAGCAGTGTAGCACCATGGTAACATTCAGGGAGAGGAATGGTACATTCTGTAAAATGGTTCTGATGCAGCAGGAGTACAGAAACTCCCTCAACGACAATTTACAACGATTTATTCCGAAGGTCTGCCTCACTCCACGGGGAGGAAAGGGCTGAACTGCGCCCTCTGGTGGCTGAGATCACAATTATTCACTTTTTATAAATTGTTTTCCATTAAAGAGCAAGTCACCCCCAAATCAGCTATTTTTTTCTGATAAACTATATAAATGCGTGTCTAATCGTGCTGCAGACACGTGTAGTCAATAGTTTTGCACTTTAGTGCATTTTAGTTAAAATTTAAATTTTCTGCCTGAAACTGTCAGTGTTGTGCCGTTGTCAGGTAAAAACTCTTCACTGCATTTGAATTTAAATCTGCCACCGCTATTGGCTAAGAGGTATGCTATGATGTAAACTGGTACATTATGATGTCACAATGTCGTGAGTGTGTGTATTTGTTAGTGGCTCCACCCTCTCGGTCTGCTAGGCAACCGCATTTGTTGCATTTTTCAAACATGAAGTGGGAGTGAAGTACGCTTCTTGTAAGGGGTGACTTGCTCTTTAAACTCAACATTAGAGCAGCAAATGGCTCCTTTAAGAGTGCAGTTGGGTTTGTTGAAATTGTGCTTTTCTGGCTCAGTCAGGAATAAAATATTCTATACAGGTGAGTGGCTTTGTTTAAGCGCCGCCTGCTGTTCAGATAATGCATCTGAAATACATTTAGAATAGTTTTAAAATCAAATCAACTGATTTTTTTCTACTTTCAAGTAAAACTGGTGGCTGAATATATTTCCATTGTGGTTTGTTTAAAAATAAAAATAAATTAAAGCTACCAGAGCACGATTTTCACTTTTTCCTCCCCATCTCGAGCGATGCGCCTCTTTCTGGCCAATCAGGACAAAGAATGAAAGGCGGGAAAATGACAGATGAATAAAAAGATGCACCGTGAGTCACACAGACGACTTGCCTTTATGCTCAAACCAATTTCACCCTTTAACAGGTTTTTATTCTTTTCATCGAGGCTGCAGGGGTTTTAGTGTCGCGTCTGCAGGATGAGAAAATGCGCAGTTGTGCGTTTATTCTAGCCGAATGACTCCTTCCATTGACTCAGCAAAACATTTGATCTGTTCCACTCTTTTGGAGTTTTTAAAACAGACAAAACTGATTAAAGCTGACTCATTTATACAGAAAGTACAGATTTAGTGACATCAGGCTTGTTTACAGCTTTCAGGGAGTCAATGGGAAAGGAAAACCTGCGTTTTTAGGGGTCACCGTTAGGTGAAGTAATAAAATGCACTTCCGCTGAAACACCTTGCAACAGGTAACAAGAGTAAAATATGGATGTGAGCATGGAAGCCATGTGCGTCCCTCTGCGTAACGAGCAGTCTGGCGAGGAAAAGGTCACGAGCTGCAAGAGACTTCGGCTGCCAAAAGCACGAGGAACCAAACGCTCTCACGCTCTGATTTATTTTCTGTTTTTTTCCAATTAAAATGACAACAAACGGCTGCTTGTTTTATATCAACGAGCAGTAAAACCTCCCTCCTCCCGCAGCTCATGATCACAGCAGCAGGGAAACAAAATTACAAAGTGTTTTCGTCTAAAGTTCAAAAATAAAAACAAGTCATTTCTAAATCTCATCTACCGGTTACCGACACGTCAAATCTACACGTCAGAGAGGCGCCGGGCTGGGGGAGGGGCGCGTCCTAGCAGCGCCCCAGCTGCTCCACCGAGCCCCGCGGCGGCATCTCCTCTCAAAGTGTCTGGAAGCTCACGCAGGTTAAAACTCAGATATGGTAGAAAAATATATAGTTTTGATGAATTTTCTCTAGTTATTTTTTTCCATCGGTGAATTGCACCCAAACACGTAGTGTTAGCACATCGTAGTAGCAGTGTAAAGTGACAGGGATCATAATTAGCACTACTACTACCACAGGAACAGCAAAAACAACACACACACACGCACACACGCACGCGCGCACACACACTCACACACACACACACACACACACACACACACAGTTTCGTTCTCTCTAGACACTTCTGGTTATTTTTTCTCTCCTTGCACTTAAAAATTTGCGGTTAACCGTTCGTCTTTCATTGGCATCATTAGGCAACCGTTATTTTCTTAGTTTTTTACAGATACTCTACATTATGGTAACAATGTAAACACCACGGTACTTAATTATCTTACTGTATCTGCACAAAGTAAAACACACGTTACAAGGCATGTTGCTACGTAAGCATAGATTTGTTCATGAAGGGGGGAAAAAAGAGGAAACACCACAAGAACAAAAGGACTCCCAACAGCTGGCATTGAATTTGTTCAAATAATAATAAAAAAGACTTTGTTCAACCTCGGGTCACGTGACCCCGTTTAAAAGCTGGTGATGATCAGTTTCTATGCAACAATAACTCCATCTTCAGGACAAAAATGATGTTTGGTGATACGAGGAGACCCAAACACCAAGACTTAGCTTGATTCAGAAGATGATTCTGTTTCTGCTCACCAGCCAGACGTTTGGGTGTTTGAGTTGACACGACGACTCTCCAACAAGAACAGGCTTCGCCGCTTGTCACCTGATAGGTAAGTTAGGGCTTAGAAAGGCCCTGGAGTCATGCGTGGAGTAGCTTTTGATATGAAAAAGTGACTATGTATGAAAACAAAGGCATACAGCTGATGACGTGTGATAAAACACTCTATGGGACATCGTCAGTTTGCATTCGTACGCCTCTGCTCAGCTTAAGTGTTTTGGCATCGGCTGCACCGTGGATACACCATCTCCTGGTTTTTTTTGGCAAGAATCTGCTTTGAGAAGAGGTGCGTCTCTTCCATTCATTAAAGGGATAGCACAGATCTTTAAAAGTAGGGATAGCTATGAACATTTAACCTGAAGTAGATGGCTTTTTAAAACAACCTCAGTTTGGAGAAAAAGAGATTAAGCTGATGAGCTAATGGCTAATGCATGTGAGGCTAAAACCCAAGTGGAGTAACTGCAGACTTACAACAGATCACAAAGATTTCAAGGCAGATAATGCAAAGAAAATTAATATTTATATAAAATTTTGTTGGAGCAATAACTAGCAGCAGCAGCTAGGGGTGTCTAATGTAGCAGCTGTGCTGTCTCTGACCTGCTTTCCGATGTAAATCAATAATGTAACGGAGACGGAGAAAAGCTGGTTTTACACGTCATGAGCTTAGACAAACCACCTTAAATCTACACGTCTAAACCCACTTCAGTGTCGCCAAATTCAAAAATGGTGACGGTAATGCTAACCACAGGACAATGCTATCCCAAGCTACAGCTAATGCTATCCTGAGCTACTGCGGACGCAAGCCCAAACTACTGCCAACGCTATCACGAGCTACTGCTGATGCTAGCCCAAACTACTGCCAATGCTATCACGAGCTACTGCTGACGCTAGCCCAAACTACTGCCAATGCTATCACGAGCTACTGCTGATGCTAGCCCAAACTACTGCTAATGCTATCATGAGCTACTGCCGACGCTAGCCCAAACTACTGCTAATGCTATCCTGAGCTACTGCTGACGCTAGCCCAAACTACTGCTAATGCTATCCTGAGCTACTGCTGACGCTAGCCCAAGCTACGGCTAATGTCCTTGTTGGACGAGAGGAAAAAACACAAGAATGTTGGAACACCACTCACGTTCATGTACTCGGGATTATCCAGACTAAACTAATGCCAGATAGATCCATAGCTTGTCATCCTTGTCACTTTGTCCCTCATACGTCCACAATGTCTACCCCATTTGTGCCAGGCTCCTGGGGCATTTTGGGCACCAAAAATTTTCACATGCTATATAGAGGCTCAAATAACAGTTTCCAATTGTGTTTCTACGATAAGTAAATATTTCAAGCAGGAACATCATATTTTTGCCAGATTTAGTGGTTAATCTGGTACAAACATTCTGATGATCCAGCTAACTTGTCCCTAGCAGCACCAGAATACTGCTAGCTACTATTATTCACACTAGCTATGAGAAAAATGTACCTAAATAATTGTGTAAATGGTGTAATTTTAACAACGTCTGCAATATCCTCTATGAAATTTTTCAGATTAAAAGATGTTTCACGACTGCTGTAATCCACGTTTGTCATTGCTCCATTCCAGCTAGGCGTTATCTCACCAATCCTGACAGGATTAACGCTTATTTCTCCAAACTGAGGTCACTCAAATAGCTATGTGTGACATCCAAAAGGTTAAATATCCACAGCATTTAAAAAGAACCCCACTTCAACAGATCAGAAAGATCCTTTCAACGGAAAACTCACTTTTTTTTACACGTTTCAGTCGATGATGTTGAAATGACTGATGCAATAAAAAGAAAAGGGAACTGAAAAAGTTTCCAAACAACCAAAAAAATCCTCCTGCCAGGTGGCTCTTTTTCACTCTGAGCCACAAAACCAATTAAATAATTAGATGGTGATGAGGTGAAAGGCCCCACCCACCATTTCCGTCACAACACTGAAAACAAGCCCCCACTCCCGCTCCTAAACTTCTTACGGACAGTATTTACAGTACAAATTACAGTATAATACATCATTTAAAAATATGAGATTCTTCTCTAAAAACATACAGGAGCTCTTGAGAAAAATCAATGTTTTAGTAAATTAGGTTTCTATGGTAACGTGGAAAATAAAAATAAGCCTAACTTGCACCGCCATCTTGTTTTTTGAGGCATCCTTTCCTTTTGGCCCTAGTTGTACTTGTTGACAGTGAGATGGCGGATGGGTTGGTTGACCACACACACATCTGTCTCATTTTACGCTAAAGCAAGCCGCAATACAACAAATCACAGCCGATCCACTCAGAACGATATGTACACGTTTGATTTGGAGGCGTTTCGCCGACGAAACGCCCTCGGGTGTCTGCGGAGACTAAAACAGACATACTGTTAGTCTTTTCTATAGGTTGTCGGTGTTTTTTTTAAATCATGACTTTCTGTTTAACCGAGGCTGAAAATAACCACCACTGTTTGGTCAGCCGTCGTAAACCTTAGTAAAATAACGTATTAGTTCCAGATATAATCCACACCTTTCAAAGTAAAAGAATAAATATAAACTGATTGGAAACTCAAATGAGTCGAGAAGATCAGCATGGGAACCAACCCTCCTCCCACCCACAGTACAACCAAAGTCCGTTTGTAAACCTTCTCCTTCACCCTTCCTCACTTCCACATCTTCATCCCCTCTTTTTCTAAAAACCCAGGCTCTGACTTCCACCCATGTTTTCCTCCTTCCTTCCTGGCTCACCCCTCCCAGCTGTGAGCCCTCAGACGAAGGGCAGGATGCCGTAGACGAACAGCGCCATGACGGCGGCGCTGAACAGCCCGGCCACAGGCACGGTGACGAACCAGGCCAGGAAGATGTTCCTGAAGAGGCGCCAGTCCACGGCTTTCTGGGAGCGGATCCAGCCCACGGCCACGACTGAGCCCACCTGGAGGTCGCGGCCGGACAGAGGGAACAAATCAGCAGCAGAACAGAACAAAAGGTTCAGAGTGAAGAGCTGCGGGCTGTTCGTGCTTTCCTCAAGGAAGCTAAGCTACTTAAAGCTCATAAGCCAGTACAAAACTTAAGTGTCTCTGCAGCTTCTGCATGAACAATTCTGCTGATTTTGATATTTAGTTGAACCTTTACAGCAGCTAATATAAAAACAACCCCACTTAATGCGTGGTTGCTTCTTAAATGCAGCAAAATAGTCAAATTAAAAATGTGTTTCATAATAATTAGCAGATAATGTGACTTTTGCAGCTAAACAGAAAAGCCCGTGCAGCCGTCAGCTCCTCACGCGTCAGATTCAAACGTCTGTTAGTAGATAGTGAAGGTTAACCCTGACTAGTTTGAGTTTCTCATGTGAAAGTCTGAAATTGGCAGGTCTGGTGTATAAAAACGCTCTCAACACTAAATGACTCGCTTCTATGAATGCAAATGTCAGACTTTCACTGCACTTTTACTCGTTTTCATACGAGGACAGCAAAAAGCAGAATAACAAACGGAATTAATCAAAAGGATAAAAAATGATAACAGATTTGAATCACGTCAGAGAGCTGGAGCTACATGTGCAGTGGCTTGTTTGCAGCTGTTTGTGATCTGACAGTTGGAGACGAGTCAAACCGCGGTCGTCTGCAGAAACCCGACCCAACGCGCTTGTAGCTGAAAGGTCAGCCTCACTTGGAGCAACCTGAGTGACCCCACGAGTAAAATCCACCACAATAAAAATGATTCATTAGACAAAATGTCCCAGGAAGCTAAGTTCCCGATGCTTTTTGAGATCAAAAATTAGTTTTCTAATAGTTTGCATGAAGTAAGGTGAGTGTTCCTGCTTCCAAGTGACTGCACATGAAGATTTCTCCGCTCACACACGCTGACTGGGCTTCGATTTAACCTCCAGCAAAGTTAAAACCATAGAAATAAGCCCACAGAAAGATAATCATTCAAACCTGAGAAAATCAAATCAATGCCCATCTCATTTTCACACACACACACACACACACACACACACACACACACACACACACACACACACACACACACACACACACACACACCCTGGAGATGCTGGGATGCTGTTGGGTACTTTCATTTTAAAATCTAGAACCAATCAGCCTAAAAGTGTCTTTAACCCAAAAACATCGGGACATCTCCAAACCCAAACCGTGGATGAATGAAATCACAACCCCAACTGTAACCTAGAACCGTCAGTAGATTAGGTGGGATGATGAAGAAGCTGATTATCCAGTTTTAGGGAAGATGGCGGTGATGCTTAGACAAACTGATCACCAGTAATTGAAACACCAGTTTTGAATCTTCAGCAGCTTTCCTTCACTGGACTTCAAAATAAAAGTCCTAATGCATTTCTGTTTTTACTCGTTTTAAAGCGAGCATGTCCTGATGACAAATTATAAACCCCAATAAGGGGGATTTCCTAAAATGAGTAAGATATTTGCTAGGGTTCCTATTTAAAGGTGCATTATGTAGGAATGAAGTAAGAATGACATCCTGCGGTCAAATTTGCGTAAAAAAAACACGAGTCACTTTATCACTCGTACTAACCCGTTGGATGTGAAGTTACGCCAATCATGGGACCGCGCCCTTTGCCATGACGGTTGACAGAAAGACCTTTTACACACATTGAAACTCTTGTGAAGCTATCCTAACAAGCCAGTTTGTAGTCTTTTGTTGCTTTGATTTCATTTTACTTCATTTACAATAATATGGATTACATGTCTTAAAGGTACACTATTTATTTGGTATGAGTGTTGATGTTAACTGATATCTTTTCTCATCCCGGTGTGAGCAGCATCTGAACCCGATGACCCCGCCAGCGACAAAAACTGGTAGGGATTGAGACTTTATTTATTTATTAATTTATTTTTATCAGCTCCGGTGTAACGTGAAACGCTGTTTATCACATAAAGTTAGAAATCCAGCAGCGTAAATTCTTGTTGGCAACTTGTTTTCATCGTTGAGCAGCAGCAGGGAGAACGTAAGCTAACGCTTGTAAGCTAACGCTTAACTTGTGTAAAAACCGTTCTCTCCGAGCTCCATGTAGGTGTGCTAAATCTTCCCACAGGTGAACTGGGCTTGAGCCAGTAGAAGCCAGATCAAAACAAACTACCTCAGTCGCCATTTTTCCTCTTTGTTCAACATTCCTGTAATTCACTGTTGCCCCACCGTGGTGCGCCACCTCGTCTGATAACTGAACTGGGCTTGAACTAGTTGAATGATACTAAATATCGCAAAAAATGATGTCAACAACCAAAAAACTATCTCAGGCACTACTTTTTCCTTTGTTTAGTACTCATGTCACTCACTGTTAGGGTTGGGTACCTTTGACATTTGAATCGATTCGGTACGAATTCCCGGTACCTAGGAATCGATACCGGTACTTAACGGTACCAGTTTTATATACTTTTGAGTGTTTAATATTTTAATTCTCTTTTATAATTAAATATATATTTTTCTCAATATATAACAATATTTGATAAATATCAGGATAAATAACATACAACTGTTTGCATTTTAACATCGTCCTTGTAGTTTTATAAGCTGATAATTAAACTGAAGCAAACATCTTTACTGTGAACTAAATTTATTGTGTTTCTTCATTCCTTTTGCCGTCTTTTTTCATTTGATTTTTCCTACTGGGAAGTTAGAATTTCCGAGGAGAAAGCGAACGCACCATTAGCTGATAACAATGGTGGCAATGGAAGCTAACATATCAAGCTAACGTTATCTTAAACAGTTTATTTAGCTGCTGGAGCAGATTAAAACGATGATGCCTCACACTTAAATCGTTGTCGCTGGTTTCATCTTCACCCAATCACTCGTCGCATTTAGTAAAGTGAAGCCAAACTTTAGAGCGGGTTCAAGTTCTCCCAGTCAGAAATTCGGAGTTCCGAGGAGAAAGCGAACGCACCATTAGCAGAACGGAAGCTAACATATCAAGCTAACGTTATCTTAAACATTTTATTTACCTACCGGAGCAGATTAAGATGAGGATGTCTCACTTAGATCGTTGTCGCTGGTTTCATGATCACCCAGTTACCCATCACATTTAGTGAAGTGGACCCAAGCTTTAGCGTGCGTTCTTTCTACCATGCTGCTCTGTTTACAACTGGCCCGCAGCGACCGACGACGTAACGCTCTTGCGCATGCGCAGCTGTCTAGGCAAGTTCTCGTTATGAAGGACGGGTACCGAAACGAGGCACCGTTTCAAATGACGTGAATCGTGCTCAGTCGGTACGATGGAATTCGGTCGGTACCTTAAAAAGTACCGAATTCGGTACCCATCACTACTCACTGTTTATATGCTTTTGCCAATCAATATGGTGGACCCGTGTGATTAGATGATGTAGGTGCAAAGGGTCAGTACTGTTGGTACGGTGGTTGCTAGCTACAGATCAGCGCCAGAAGTAAGAGTAAGAAAAATATATTTCACTGTAATATTGAGTTGTTGCCGATTGAAAAAGAAGCTTGAGATATTTTTTAGAGCCATTTGTTTCTAATTCACTGTTAGCATTGTTAGCTCAGTGTTAGCCTCCAGCTTTCTTTACCGGATATTAGCACCGGTGTCGAATTGGCGCATCAGCGTTAGCTCGTGCAGATTCTGCAAACCCACGGACTGTGAATAAGGTAAATAAATCTGGTTTCTAATAATAGTTTTATATTTGTGGTAAAAAGCCTAAAAGCTGCTGAAGGAAAACTACAGAAGTCAAAACTTCAACTTCAAGAGTTGTAATTGGTTTCTGTGATTGACAGCTAGAGCTGAAGCGATGAAGAGGAGCTCCAGGAAGAGAGGGAGGGGGAAGGGGCTCTCTTGTACGGCTTCACTACCAAGGACTGCAGTACCTTACAGTGGGTGGAGCTTATTGGGATGCCCACATTTGATGCAACAAGCACAGTTAGCGCACTCATTACTTCAATGCAAAATCCGCTGTGAAGACAGATGGGTGGAGGGACAGAAAGATGGAGAGGGAGAGGTAAAAATGTGGAATTCAAGAGAGGCAGGTGGGGTTCGGGGGAGGAGGAGGCTGCTGGTGGTTGTGGTGGAGGGAGGGGGCGGGGCCAGCTTGCAGCCAAGCACAGGAGGGCGGAGGGACCCACACACCAAACCATGCCAGTGCTGAGGGGCAAAATTAAAGAGTTGGTGGAAATGACACAAGAGACACTGTGGGTGGGTGGTCGTCCACCTCGTCTTCCTGTCTGGTTCTGGTGTTCCTGAAAAAGAACAGGGAAGAGGGGCTGCACACGGAGACCCGGGGCGTCCAGAAGAGACGGACTGTCTTCAGATCGATTGTTAGACAATTAAAAGAATTTTTTTAAATCAGAATTTTTGTAACAAAAAGACCAATCAGGGCTTTGTTAAACAAAAAAATAGAATTACTTTTCCTGCAAATAAGCTGAGTGATAACATCTAGAACTGTACATGTACTCGCAGTCCTACAGGGCAGACCCTTTTAGACTTTAACACCTAAACAGAAACAACACAGCTGACAAATCCTGTCAGGGGTTGGAAATTCACCTCCAGGATGAAGCAAATGACCTGAGCTGGTTCAAGAGGACAAAACTGATTGTCTCTACAAACAAACTACGACGCTCAACGCCCTGGGAGGAAGTGTGAGCTCCCTCTCCCCTGGTGCGACCTGTTGGGGGGGTGGGGGTGAGAGGTGAGCAGCCACAGGGCCGCTCGGTCATACCTTGCAGTGTGTCGTACTGACAGGGATTCCGATATTGGAAGCCAACACGACAGTGAGTGCAGAAGCCAGTTCAATAGTGAATCCACTGTGGAGGGGGGAGGGAGGGGGAGAAGGGGAGGGGCAAAGAGACAGTCTTCATTGTGATGTCTGGGACGCCGGTAATGACGGCACAGCCTCTAAGTGTTTACCCATCAATCCAAAAGACAAACATCAGGTGATCCGTGCCTCCACCAACCTCACAGTCTAAACGTTCGGCACGGACTTTGGATCGGGTCAAATATTTAAAAACAAACACAGAGCTGCATACAGGTGAGCTTCTGCCTCCTTTCCTCCAAACCTGTGCCCTTTGACCTTGGACTAGTGGAATCACTGTAAGAGAAAGTTATGATCGAGCACATAAAACACTGAAGAGAGCAATGTGTCATTTCATCAAACACACAGCAGAAGAATAAAATAAAGCTTTAGAGAAAACGAGGATGAAAAAGATAACAGACCTGAAAATTTTATCTACAGCATCTTAAATTTAGGTCCGAATACAAAAGAAAAGAACATTAAACCTGAAGCAGGACCGAAGAGTCTGTGCTGATGATGACACTTTGGAAAATTTTGGTCATAGTTGGTGTTTTCCATAAACTCAGCAGGTGGGATGTGAACAAATTATGTTTCTGAGACTAAAAATACGATTTTAAACTGTTTCCCCAAGTTTAGACGCACTTCAAACGGAAAAAAAACGTCTCAGAAAACGGACAGAGAACACATGGAGGAGAAGCCAAAATCCAGAAGACAAACCCCAAAAGGTTTTCAGAAAGCAATGTTAGCCTCCATTAAAGCCTTTAAATAAGAATAAATAAGACCTTCGCACTTTAGCATAGCCGCTAGCTTTAGCTAGCACGCATCGTTTGGGCTCTTCTGGTAAAGATGAGCAGTAACGTCTGTAACACACACACACACACACACACACACACACACACACACACACACCCCTAAACAAATGTCTCTGTCAGACTGATGCATAGAAACAAACTCTGGAGAAAAGAGAGGCCTTAAACTCTGAACCAGAGCAAATTTGTCTTTGGACTTTGGCAGCAGAGTCGATGTGAGATGGAAGGAAAGAGATTAAGTGAGAAAGGGGGGGGGGCAAACAAAAAAAAAAGAGAAAGAGAGAGGCAAATAAAAGGTGGAGGAATAAAGAAAGAGGGCAAAATAATGAGAGTGAGTGAAGCGTGGGAACAACTTTAGAGGTGAGTTGTTTCTAAAAGAGGACGAGAACGGACAGAAGAGATCAGCAAAAAGGAAAAGAATTACAGAAAAGAACGGAGGAGGACAGAAGAAAAGAGGTGAAGAGAAGGAGGCCGGGCTGTCGTTCCTTCCTGTGGTTCCTCCCCCCCCTCACCCATCCCACTCTACTGCTCATCCTGAATGCCAAACAACTTCCTGTAACACTGTTACACACACACACACACACACACACACACACACACACACACACACACACACACACACACACACACACACAGCGACCTGCAGGTTAACGTGCACACATTCTTTCACTGGTGAACGAGAAAACCAAACAGAGGGATGGAGGGATGAGCAGAGAGCGGGTAGACGTGTAACGTTGGGACTAAAAGGGCTGCGGGGATTTTTCACCGTGGTCTGAAATACGTGTTCAGCTTTATTACGTAACAGGTTAAAAACGCTGCTTTTCTCTTCATGTGCAGGTTAACGTGTTCAACCGATTAAAACACGTCTTAAATAATTCATCTAGTTCAGCATCGACGGTCAAGTTTTTTACTTTTTTATAGTTTCTGCTGAAAAAGCCCTTAAATGTTTTGAAACGTAATAAATGTAAACGTAACAGGAGATCCGAACCAAATTCTGCAGGTTTTGTTGTAATTAATGATTTTTGCAGCTCAGCAATCAGAGAACGCTGGAAGAAAACGTTCTTCGTGGGTCGGACGCTGCGTCGCGCCTGTAAACGGGTCGTTAACGAACCGCCGAGTGCAGCTTGACTTGATGCAAAGCTGGTTTAGCCGAGTTAGAGACCTTTGGTGGCTGCTTTGACCTCACAAAGGAAGCTGCAGGATGTTGAGGCTCTTAAGAGCAAGACACAGAAATCAAGTATTACATTTACTCTCGCTCGGCTGTGAGGAGCTGTTCTCACCTGGAGGGGGTGATGGGAGTCAGGTCTTTGCCCATGGTCTGGATGACACGGCGGCCCCACACCCACAAGCCAGCACAGATTCCCACACCGCCGTAAAACAGCAGCCAGACCGGAGTGGCGGCGTCCTGCATCACACCTCCCTGGTCGTAAATCATCCACAGCGCCACCAGTGGCCCGATGGCATTACTGCCGACAGATGACACCGGTTTAATTCCGCTATCCTGAGTTTACAGCTGAATCATAACATCGGAGGGTAAATTCGGTCACCTGACGTCGTTGCCTCCGTGGGCGAACGAGCCAAAGCAGGCTGTGAGGATCTGCAGGAAGTGGAACAACAGAAACACCTCCGACTTGTCCTTCTCCTCATGATCCTCCTCCACCAAGTCATCCAGAGGCACTGGAGCCGGAGCTCCCTCCTCCACCCCCTCCAGCTCCGAGGCCAACTTCAGCTCCACTCCGCCCTCCTCCGCTTCAATCTCCGCTTCAGCGACGGCGTTGCAGTACGACGAGTAGCTATCGTAGCGTATCCGCTTCCTGGAGTAGGAAACGCTGTTGCTCCGCACGCCTCCCTCGCCCACGAGCTTCTCGCTGTCGTCACGGGATTCCGAACGCCTGAGCGGCTGCACTGGCATGCCGCATATCGCTGCCGTGTAGCAGGTGTAGCTGTTGTTGCGGCGCAGCAGCCGGTAGTTGTTGTCAGGCTGCTGGGTGCCGGAGCGATCCGTGTCGTCCATGCGGCCCAGGTGGATTTTGTGGAGCAGGTCTTTGTACAGACCAGAGTCTTTGTGCACCGTGTGGTACACCTGGCCATCGCTGCGCATGTGACCGTCGAAGGTGAAGCTGCCATTAGCGACAGGTGACTTTAGGGACCCATTGGTCATTGAGTGAGTTCGGCCTGGAAGAAAAAACACAACAAGGCTTGGTTTTTTTCTGTTGTCTCGTTTGTGACCTCCTGAACTCATAAAAACGTCTTAAGCGTCTTTTTGCTTTTTAATCAACACTAAATAGTTTTTAACATTTTAAGCTACTGCTTTCAAACTGGTTTCGGTGGTTTTTGAGCCATAAACGGGAGAAACGTCATATTAGACAGCCTTCTGTAGCCCTCTGCTGACCAGAAACAACTTTGGTGGTTCGGGTAGGCACAAGTGAAAAGTCTCTACCTGCTTTGCAGCAACAGCTGCACTGGTAGCTAATATAAAGGCTAGCAGTTAGCTTTACCAGCTTGCCAAACAATAGAAGAAGAAGAAGAAGAAGAAGAAGAAGAAAATATAATTTCTATAGTGCCTCTCAAGATTAAAATCACGAGGCGCTTCACAAAAACAAAAAATATAAAAATTGTAAAAATATAAAAAAGCATTTTGAAAATGTTTAAAATATATTTAAAATGAGCAAGAATAAGCTATTGCAATTTAAAAGAAAAAATGTTAAGAAAGAGAGAGAGAGAATAGGAAAGATAAAAAATGCAAGAAGAAGTTAGCTTTTCGTTGAGATGTTTTGATGAAGGCGAAGCAACGAGCTAAAACCAGAGTGAACATCGGTGTGGCCTACACTCGGAGGCAGCTGCTGAAGGCTATGAAATCATGGACTGATGCTGACCTGGCTTTGTTGCTACTGGACTTGGAAGTTCAATTCAATTTTATTTATATAGCACCAAATCACGACAAGAGTCGTCTCAAGGCACTTCACATAATAAACATTCCCATTCAGGTCAGTTCATTAAGCCAATCAGAAATAATGTTTCCTATATAAGGAACCCAGCAGGTTGCATCGAGTCACTGACTTGAAGTAATAATAGTTTTTGTCCATCGGTGTGGACCTTTTTACTATGTGCCCTGTTTCGCATCGGTTGGTTTGTGTTAGCGATAATGTGTTGTAATTTGTAATTCTGCTTTCAGCCAATAGGGGGAGGCGCTGAGATCATCAAGTGTTGCTTTAAAATCTAAAAATCGTACCATAAACCCTCCCGTTTGGCAGGACGGTGCCTCCGTTGCCCACGTTAGTGAGCTCCGTGCTCGGGTCGCGGGTGCTCCGTTCGCTGCTGCTTCCTGTTAGCGGCAGCACCGCCTCGTCCGTGCCCTTCGCACCAGGAAGCTCTTTAAAGACGGGACTCTCTTCTTCTTCTTCGGGAATCTTATCCAGGCTCTCATCGGATATCCTGGAGAGAACCTGCTCCTTCTTTAAACGACCTGAAAGAAAAACCATAATAAAGGTGAATTTCTGCAATTAATTCAGTGGTTTTTATGACTTACGAGGAGAGACGCTGCAGCTGTTTGTACAGGAAATCAGTAATCGGCCCGCAGAAACACTACATCCATCCATCAGCTGACCCAAACTAATCCCAGCTCTGATGACGCCCCATTCCTCGAGCACACAAACAATCACATGCTTCATTCTGCAGGACGCAGAAATACCCAGATTAGGACAAGATTATAATCCTTAGAGGTATTCACAAGTCACGACAGGTCAGGTCCAAGTCCATCCATGCGGGGTTAAAGTAAATACAGTCAATTTTCTATTTCTAGGGGTTTTCCCAGTTTTATTCATCTGAAGGTCTGATGCTGACTTCCCTTTTCTTATTCTCCTTCTATTGTTTTAGTTGGTGAGTCGTGACTTTTACAGCCATCTGTGTCGCTGTGGGCTGATTTTACCATGAGGAGAAACAAGCACTCCCTTTATCTGAAAGCCGTCTACCCCGAGAGCCTTATTCTCACCCTGTTTCATCCGGACCCGTGGATCTATGCTGTAATTTAAGCTCTCAGACAAAATAAAACACCAAGCAGTAAAAGTACCAGAGTTCAGAGAGTGGTTCGAGTGTCTAGCACATAAAAAAACAAAAAGACTTACTTGCTATTTTCCTTCTCATCCAGGGACAGACGAAGAACCAGACCAAAGCTGCACAGACCAGCGACCCGGCTAAGGTGATGAGGAAGATGGCCCACACCGGGAGCATCTCCAGTCCGAGCACTGCAACCAACACAACATTCCCAGTGAGAACCGTACTTGTCTGCAGGTTTTTATCGTCCCGGTTACGTTGGGACGTGCTTACAGGGAGCTCCGGTGTACATGATGGAGAAGGTGTTGATCCCGATGGTGGAGGCGTAGAAGAGCGGCAGCGCTCGGAGGCCGTTCGGGACCGAGTCGTCCTGCAAAAGAACAAAGAGTTTAACTTTTAGTAAAGTTTCTGAAGTTATTCGTTTTAATGCGTTTGAAACCGTAAACATTTCATCCCAGTTTAATAATTGTTTATTTTAGAACCGTCAACAAACTATTTCCAATTAGAAAAAAAACAAAACAATTACAAATCTTTGTTTGTTGCAGTAAAATTCAAACATTAAATCCAGATGTGACGCTTCGCTTCGCATCTTCAACATAAGCAACCCAAACAGGAATTAGGTCCATCTACAGAATCAGTGACGCTCGTCTACACGTAAACACGCCGCCATCGCGTGACTCACCGACACCTAAATCAGCTGACGTGACCTTAAAATGATCCTCTCTGCTGTTACATCACACACCTGCAGGAATGTTTTATCTGATCCGGAGCTCTTTCCTTACGGGGGTTTCCAAGAACGCGACTCAGATTATTTTACTAGTTTTAAGAATTCTAGCTGAGCAACCTTTGTTTATCCTGTTTGTTTGTGTGTGTGTGTGTGTGTGTGTGTGTGGGGGGGGGGGGGGGGGGCATTTTCAGGAACTAGAAGGGAGCCACATCAGAGGTGAGCTTCAGACACATTCTCTGCCATTTTACGGACAACAGCCTTCCCCGTCATGAGTCAAGATTAGAGCCCTGCACTAAAGCCCGGCCCGACGGCCCGAGGGCCGGGCTTCGGGCCAACGACTGTGTAATTACCTCGGAGACGGGCCGGGCGTCTTTATTTTTAATCGAATTCATAAAAAAAAAACTGAAACACTTGAACGCAGCAGCACCTGCCTGCTTCCCACGCACCGTTAGCTCAGTTAAGGTGTGTGTGGTTTATAAACGCGCCGACATAAACGAATTCTCAAACAGCTGATTGAAACATGCGGCCCTGTTCTAACACGCCGTTTTATGTCCACTTTGATGTCAGAAACATTCGTTTATTCTCATGAAAACGGCAGCGTTCTATTCTTCTGTGAATAAATTCGCTCTGCAGTTAAATAAATGCAGCATTCATCGCTGGTTTTTTCTAACTGGACGCATTTTCAGAGCGGCAGATTAAATTTACAAATGCTGTGTTAACTGGGGGCGTTTATTTAATCTGCCGGTCTGCAGTTAGAAAATTAGAACGCTGCTTTTTTTCTAACTGCACAAGAGCGCCTTTTCAGAGCAGATTAAATTTACAAACACATCCAATTAATATAGTGTTCGTAAATTTCATCTGCCGCTCGAACAATACGCTCTGATAGAAAAAAAAAGCTGCATTGATGCTGTTTTTCTTTCTTTTTTACTGCAGAACGCTTCCCACAGATAATCAGAACGCTGAGCGTCCTATCACGCTAAAACATCATGAAAGGTTAAAAATAAAGTCGGGCTCGGGTCGGGCTGGGGCTCCACCCCCTCGGGCCGGGGGCCATGAATGTGACGGGACCGTGTGACGTAGATCTGTCAGGCTCTTCAAATTCTAGAGTTTCACCGTCTGTTTTCTGTCAGAAGCTGACGCAGGAGATAATAATAATACACCGAACCTATATAGCGCTCGTTTAGGACGCTCAAAGACACTTGCATGCACTCTCACATTCACACACTGCCAGTGATGGTGAGCTACTTTGTAGCCACAGCCGCCCTGGGGCGTTCTTACAGAGGCAAGGCTGCCATTTGGCGCCGTCGGCCCCTCTGACCACCACCAACACAGGCAAGTAGGCTGAAGTGTCTTGCCCAAGGACGCAACAGCAGAATATCCCTGGCGGGAACTGGAATCCAACCCATGACCCTCCTGCTGTCCCAGATAGGTGTAGGAGACTATTTTCATGTTCAGCCTGTGTGCATCTTAATCAGAAATGAGATTTTTCGGTGATCCACACCCTTAAAAATATTTATCTTATTTTTCTAGATTCTAAAATTTTCTTTTGTTTAGAATAAAAATGAGATAAAAATGTGTAAAAATGAGACTTTTGTCAGTTTCTTAGAAATCAGGTGTTGCAGTGATCTGTTGAACGTTCTGCTCAGTCTCTGGCTTTTTCTCAGACAACAAGGGAGCAGACACAAAGCTCTGAAGCAAACAGTGCCTCCACCTCCTAACCAATCAGTGACTGACGGTCAGCGACATCATATCACCGAACTGGGCTGGAACCACAGCGATGCAGCTACTGGAAAGTTGGAGGAAGATTCCGAGCCGTGCTGTTGGAATCCCCCGTTTCTTGTTTAAACTCACCTATCCTGCACACAGAGCTCTGGTTGCAACCGAAGTGTGCTGAAAAATGAGTATTGATCTTTAACTGCTTTTATGCACGTTTCCAGAACGGCGCTGCTCTGGGCGGCTGCATGTTGGAGTAGCTCTGTTGATTATATGTAAGTTTTGCCTTTTTTGGACATTTTTTCTTCTAGTTTCTCAAGAAAAACTGTATTTTTTTGACATTTTACTTTTCTGTTTCTGATGCTGTGAAGCTTGGAGGATTTTTACTGCTATTTTTTTCACTTTTTGAGCATTTGTTATGATGCGTAACCATGGCAACAAGCTGGTTTACAATCGGGAGCAGCTGATTAACATTGGAAAGGCTGAAATAATACCTCGACTGAAGCCACAAATCCCAAATGAGCTAAAACGCAAGAAGCGTGGGTGCAGAGCGGGAGCACAACGGAGACAGAGAAAGAGGAAATTCAAACCATCTCTTCCATCGATCATAACGGGCAATGTGAGATCACTGGCCAACAAGATGGAGGAACTCCAAGCCCTTTCAAGGACTCAGCCAGAGTTTCAGCAGTTTTGGAACCACTGGAGGAGATAATGCAAAGAAGGATTCTCCAGAGAATCAAGAAAATGATGGACAACCCTGAGCGTTCTCTTCACAAGACTGTCCGACAACGGAAGAGTGTCTTCAGTCAGAGGCTTCTTCAGTTTGGCTGCAACACTGACCGCTACTGGAGATCCTTCCTGCCAACAGCCATTGTAATATACAACAACTCTTTGATGACTTGATTATTATTATTATTCTGAGCTACTACAGCAATCAGTTTCCCTCTGGGATTAATAAAGTATTTTTGAATGGAATTGAATTGAATTGAATTGTTTAATCGTTGTTTTTTTTGCTTTCTAATGAACTTTATTCTTTTTATAATTATCATTTAATTGACTTAATTTACCACCAACGTCATAAAAGCTCACCTTGTTGAGGATGAAGTGTCTGATAAGCATGAAGAGGAGTCCAGACATGAGTCCGGACAGCAAAGGCGAGATGAACCATGAAGAAACTGGGAAGTCAACAAAATAAAGACCGCATCAGCCAAAAATTCTGTTTTCAGTTTTTGCACAAACCTCAGGAGAAGGTCACGTTACCAAAAGGTTAAAATGTTCCAACAAAGCAAGTCAGGACTGACGTTTATTGTGGTGCGGAAAGCAAAACAGAACAAGATGATGCAGACGAACCGATTTTGACGAGCTGCATCCACTGCACACCCTTGGTGCCGATGGCCACCATGGAGAAGCCGATGGTGGCTCCAACGATGCAGTGAGTTCCAGAAATGGGAAGCTTGAGGAAGGAGGCGATCAGCTGCCAGACTGCTGAACCTGTGACCCAAAACAGACAAGAACAAACCTAAATGTGTGTTCTGGAAACTAAAGCAAGAAAACGCAGCAGTACTGAGATTTGTGTGCATAAATATGATGAGTTGTGGGCGTTTACTGCCATTTAAAGGGGTGCTATTCAACTTTTTCATATTTTAAATAATGACTCTTTACAGGATTATTGAAAAGTCACTCAGACCCCACACGCCCTGTGGCCAGAATACTGCAGGCCGCTCCCTGCTGGTGGAGGGTGCTGTGGAGCGGAGCTGGCTTCCAGCACATCTCCTGCATGTTTTAGATGAACACACATGATCTGTTTGATTTAGTGATGAATCGCTCCTCTAGAAACTAATCAGCAGTTAGACTCAGGTGTTAAAAAGACAAATGCACAGCAAGGAGAAGAGTTTCTGTTCTGATATCGCCACTATGAATTAATAACGGACACTAGGGGGTGCTAAAAGCAAGCAAAACTGCCAAGTTTCCCTTTAAACAGTTTATTCACAGAAATATTACAATCATCACCAGAAAAATCATTTCTGATGCACTAAGCATCTTAGTCTCTAAACTTTAGTCATAAACAGATAAATTTACTTAAACGAGTATTCATTTATATTCATAAGACATAATAAACCATGTAAGGTGTATTAATGCAGCAATTTCCCACAAATAAACCTATCATTCATTTCCAAGGACAACAGCATCTATTATTTAAATCTTACATGAAATAAAGACTTTGTTATTGTCAGCCAAGACATTTTTTCTACAACAATGACTCATCCACTAATGTGCGTTCTCCGTGACCTCGAGTCAAACATCAAAACCTTCTGAACACAAATGCATTTTCCTCCTTTTGTCTGGTCAAATAAAAAAGTTAAGACTTCTTTAAATTCCACATAAGCCACCCAGCTGAAGCGTTTCCCTTGTTCAGGTTAGACAAAGACTGTCCAGTAGCTCGCCTTTCACGCTCTTCAGGTACAACATTAAGATCTGAAACCTTTTCTTATACAAAATAATAAAAAGGGAAAACAGCAGGCTCTCGATTTACCGGTCGATCTACGTCCCAATCCTCACCTATGGTCATGAGCTTTGGGTAATGACCGAAAGAACGAGATCGCGGATACAAGCGGCCGAAATGAGTTTCCTCCGTAGGGTGGCCGGGCTCAGCCTTAGAGATAGGGTGAGGAGCTCGGACATTCGGGAGGGACTCGGAGTAGAACCGCTGCTCCTCCGGATCGAAGGAGCCAGTTGAGGTGGTTTGGGCATCTGGTCAGGATGCCTCCTGGACGCCTCCCTGGGGAGGTGTTTCGGGCATGTCCTGCCGGCAGAAGGCCCCCGGGTCGACCCAGGACACGTTGGAGAGGTTACATCTCCAATCTGGTCCGGGAACACCTTGGGGTCCTGCCGGAGGAGCTGGTGGAGGTGGCCGGGGAGAGGACGGTCTGGAGCTCCCTAGTTGGGATGCTGCCCCCGCGACCTGGATAAGCGGAGGAAGACGACGACGAGGACGACGGAAAACTGCTTGTGTTTAATCCCGAGTATGTTTTCCGTCACAAGGTTCAGCCGTAGATTTTCTCTCCTGCTGATAAAAGTTTCTCTAAAAGTAGGATTTATGTCCACCTTTACAGAATCCTTCAGAATAAAATAGCTGAATGTAAAAAGTCTCGAGTTGATTCAGAATGACCTCCATGTTTCATCCGCGTTCCAATAAAACATCACCACAACGTTAAGACTGGCGTTTACTATCACAAAATATAAAATATGTGATATTATGGTACTCTTTCGTATCTCAGACCCTGAAAGTGAACGCAACATTCAACTCCATGAAGTGTTGGTAATAGATTTCTTTGGCGCTTTTGTAGAAGGATGAGAAAATATCAATAAACCGAAATATTGTGATGTTCTTGTTATGATACTGAATCGATAATTAAAAGTAGTGCATCAATTTTTTTTATTGAGAATTGAAGAAGAAGAAGAAAATATCATTTCTATAGCGTCGCTCAAGATAAAAATCACGAGGTGCTTCACAAAAACAAAAAATGTAAAAATATAAAAAAGCATTTAGAAAATTTTTAAAAATATATTTAAAATGAGCAAAAATAGGAAATTGTGATTAAAAATGTTAAGAAAGAGAGAGAGTGAACAGGAAAGAGGGAAACCAGTGGATCCTGAGGAAGGTGGAATAGGTGGGGAGAGCAGAATAAAGAGAGAGAGGTGAAGAAGGTCATACAAAAGCCAGCTTGAACAAGTGAGTCTTCAGCTGCTTTTTAAAGGAGACCACTGAGTCCACTGATCTCAGGCTCAGGGGGAGAGAGGTCCAGAGTCTGGGGGCCACAGCAGCAGATGATCTGTCACCTTTGACCTTTAGCCTGGTGCTGCACAACCAGTAGGCTTTGGTCACTGGACCTCAGGGACCTGCTGGAGGTGTAGGGACTAAGAAGATCACCAATGTAAGATGGTGCTTGTCCATGTAAGGCCCTATAGACCAGAACCAGGATCTAGAAATGAACCCTGAAGTTGACTGGCAGCCAGTGAAGCTGGAGGAGAAGCGGGGTGATGTGGGTGTGTTTGGAGGACTTGGTCAGAAGCCGAGCACAGGCGTTCTGAGTTGACTGCAAACCTTTACAGTTTATTTTGAATGGTACAATTCAAACTCCAACTGCTAGGTGGCAGCGGTTTTTCCTGCCTTAATTTTTTGGTAGAACAGGGAGCCTAAATCTGTTTCTACCTCCGGATCGTGGGTCCCTAGAAGAACAAAAAAATTAATCAACGGGGCTAAAAACGCTATTTTCTAATCCCGCTTGTTTTGTGCCATGGAGTTCACATATGATGTCCTTGAGTTTAAAGATGCATTTTGATACCAAGAAAGCGCTTATTTTCAAACGGAGGAACACATTATTTTAGGTTTTGTGTGAAAATAAGTCCAGGACTACAATGCGCTCCACGTAAGTGACATCGTCGAACCGGACACGGAGAAAACAGGGAAAACAGCTGTAAGTTCATCAAACATCGAATTCTTCCTTCAGGGGGCTAGAAGCACGATAAACCTGGCCATGTGGTAAGTAGCAGCTACGCTAGGGGAGAGGAGATTATGTGATGACATCATACACGCAGTGCTGATATCTGATTTGTAGTCATGCTAACAGCGAACTTTCACAAGCTGATCAATCTCAACGCATGTAACTGGCTGGTCGAAACACACATCATTACTTTTCTTTTAAATATAAGTACATCAGATGTGCGATTCAGGGCGAAAGCCAAAGCTGATTAGAAAATGTCTCTTTTATTTTTCCGTTTTTCCAGGGACCCGTGAGCCGACCGGTATGGGAGGAGACGTAGACTCCCTTTAAGGAGAGCTCTCCATTTCACTGTGTGTTTTGGAGGTGTCTGGCCTGAGATTTTTAATTAAAATAGGCCGTACACCAAGGTAATGACGTATTTTTCTACTAGCTAAGCAACAGGAAATTCACATTTTTCTTTTATTTTGAAAGTTGCCGGATGCCTTACACAGCTCTCGGGTTTGACTTCCTGCCTAGGCCGATCTGAACAGCTGAGGTTGAAGTGATCCGGTGTCGGTACAGGATCTGCTCGGGTGCAAGATCGGCTCGGGGTCCTTCGACTGCCGATGACGTCAAAGTACGGCAAACCCACTCGGACAAAATACACTACACATCTATACTGTTGGAAAGAATTTAGCAGTTTCGTTATTAAAATAATGTTTCTTAAGACGTAAGTTTGTGTTTATAATGGTATTTGTAAAATAAAATACTATATTTGATTCATGTTGAACTCCTCTTTGAGCACATCCCTTGAAGGATCATAGGTATTAGCAACACCTGTGAAATTGTATTTGCAGGAAAGAAGTGTGTCCCGTTTATTGAAGTATTTTGTGTTTAGAGTTTTTGACGTCTTGTCCATGCGTAGTTCAGTTACGCTCATAGCTGCTAGCCAAAACTCTGGAGTTAAAAGTTTTCTGGCTTTACTAAAATACCTGTCTGTACTTATTTGATTGATGGTAGTTTTACTTTCTATTAGACTCCAAATGTAATCATTTGGCACGTTTCTAATTCATAATTTGTAATAATGTAATCGGCGATATTAGCATTAGCATTCCTATGGGTTTTTCCATGTATATTAGCATTGCGCTAACCACTCGCTGCCAAATTGCAGCCTTTGCCATTAGAAAATCTCCTTTTGTCACATCGCAATTTAATTGCACATGCAGTTAATCGTTCAGCCCTAATATACATGCAGCTCTATGCTAAAAGTGTATTTTCAAAGAGGTAATGATGGATTTCTTTGTAAAAGTTGTCCATCTTTCCAATAGAAAAAATTTGCCTGGACCAACGTCACGTGATAACATCGTAACCTGATAACAACGTAACGTGATTACGTAATTCCGTAAGGTTCATGTTCAGCCAATCAACTACTTAGACGTCATCGGCAGTCGACGGACCCGAGCCGATCTTGCACCCGAGCAGATCCTGTACCGACACCGGAAGCGGAGCGCGTAACAAAAGCATCTCGTTTGTAAACCTCTGCATTTGAAAAACATACACCGGTTAACCTCAGATTTAGTGTCAGTAAGATTTTTCAAACTTATTAAGAAGCAAATTCTATCTTTATACAACCTGTATGACAATTATCCATTAGGTTAGGGTTAGAAACAAGCTTCTGGTTGGGATTCAGTACAACTGGCCTCAAAATTCCTACTTTTTCATCAGTCAAAAAAATAAAACAAATCAAATTTGCTGATTTACTCCAGCATAGAAGCCCTCCCCAATCAACATTTATCAACTTGCACATATTCTAGAGTCCACTGATGACACCGTCAGACCTTCAAACCCTGGAATTAAAGAGATCAAATAAAGAAATCATGGCGTGGGTTTCATAAACCTCAAGGTCTGCCGCTACGTTCATCTGGAAGAAAAATGAGTCCAACTCACCGACCATGGCGCTGACCTCTCCTGCCATCAGTACGGGAACCGTCTCATTGTAGAGGCTGACGTCGATGATGCCCTTCCGAATCGTCTCTCCCACTTTGGCCCCGAGCAGCATCGAGCCCAGAGTCTCAAAGATGGACGCCAGGATGCAGGCCTGCTTGAGAGTGACCACCCCGGACCCCACGGCTGTGCCAAAAGAATTAGCCACATCGTTGGCTCCCACCGAGAAGGCCAAGACGAAGGCGATGATGAAGCCGATAACCACCATCCACAGATATGATTCCAAATCCATCTTGATATGATTTTGCGAATCCAAGGAGCAGGAAAAAAAATGCCTCACCTTGGAGGAAAAAGAAAAGAGGTGTTCGGCGTCTTCAGTGGATGACTTGCCAAGTCCACTGCTGTAATTTGTCCCCTGGTTAGAAAGAGTTGGAGGGGAGACGCACAGCTGCTAACTAAGAGTCTGGAGCTCAGTCCAAAGATTGGAGACTAGTGATGGTGGGAGCAGAGAGCATTCCATAGCTTAGTGTGAGGCAGCCTGTCTGCACGGTCGTCCGCCTGTCAAGAGACACAGAAACAGATTAGTGTCATAAGCCATGATGGCTCAGCTACACCTACGTGCGACTTCCTCAGAAAACACAAAACACGGGAGAAGGAAGGACTAAGCAAGCGTCTCTGCTGGGGAAACGGGGACACGTCTGAATGCTGCAACAGGAAACCACCGCGTCCTTTAGATTAATCCAATCAGACCGTTCAGGGAGCTGGGCCACGAGGCAGACTAGGTCACAGCGAAAAGGTAACAAACTAGGTGAAAAAATGAGATTTTCTGAGTTTTAATCACAATCTTAAGCGTCTCCCCGACAGCCTCGCGGACGTCCCCATGACAGAGTCTGCTGCAGATGTCTCTGATCGCTGCTCCAGCACGGCTGCTGCTGCAGCTGCGTTAGGTGCAGCCAGAGTTACGCAACAGTTTTGCCAACAAGCTTTGCAGCACAAGTTCAAACAGAATAAAAGCTTTTGGTGCAGCAAAAAACAAAATAGAACATTTGGTGCATGGAATGAGTCGCAACTGCAATGCAGTAAGATTTTCAGCAGCGATGCTTTGCTGTGGCTCACAAAACCCTCTGTGGTTTTCTAACTCTTCAGTAAAAGACTAAACTAACAACTAGTGACCATAACTGGTTCTATGGCAACATTTAATGACATATTTATTCATAAATTGAGCCTAATTAAAAACATTACATTGCATCTGATGCTGGCGAGCTGCTTTATCATGCTTGCAAAGTGAAATGTGACACTAAACATGAATAATAATTATAACAATAATCCTTTTTTTACTTCTTATGAGTCACAATTCAGAAATGTTTTTATTAATTGGACAAAAAATGAAAATTAAAGATACCCGCCTCAGCTGAATATTGCAAACATAAAATTACTAACTTAATCAGCCATGCAGCTACGTACTGGAAGCAGGAAACCCTTCACAACAATTCACTCATTTTATTTAACAAAAGAGCAACAAATCTTACATTTCTCTACATCTGCACCATTTAGACCAGGGCTCTGCAACCTGCCGCTCTGGAGCCACAAGATGCTCTTAGGCCATCTTCCACACTTTGGTTAAAAAACGATACTAAAATAAATTTAACACGTGTTTTTAAATACTGATATGATTTAACAAATGGAACTGGCAGTTTGGCTTTCTTTTAGCACCCACTAGTCTCCTCGCTGTGTGTTTGTCTTTTTAACACCTTAATCTGACCGCTGAAACATCTCCTCGGCCTTCATTAGTGTCTGGAGGAGAGATTCATCACTAAATTAAACAAATCAGCTGGTTCATGAACAGGAAACAATCTGGAGCCAGCCTGCAGCGCCAGGTATGTCAGCTTCATTTTTCTAGGCTCCAATAGAGCTACCCGCCACTCTGAAGTTGCAAGTTTATGTTTATGTCTTTAGCAGACACTTTTGTCCAAAGCGACTTACAAGTGATAATCGGCATGTTGCCCTTGAGGCTAACAACAACAACAATAACAACAACAACTTGACATCAGTCATGGAGAGGAGGGAACAAGGAGTGGACAGTAGAGAGGGGGACGGGTGCAGGGAGGGTGCTAGTTTAGAAGATGCTCTCTGAAGAGCAGGGTCTTCAGGAGTTTCTTGAAAATTGAAAAGGAAGCCCCTGTTCTGGTAGTGCTTGGTAGGTCATTCCACATTTGTGGAACGATGCATGAGAAGAGTCTGGATTGTCCTGAGCGTGGTGTAGGCACTGCTAGCCGACCATCCTGTGATGACCGGAGCGGCCGGGCCGAGACGTAAGCCTTTGCAAGAGGATTCAGGTAGATGGGAGCCGTACCGTCTCGGACTTTGTATGCTAGTGTTAGCAATTTGAATTTGATGCGTGCTGCTAGCGGTAGCCAGTGGAGCTCAATGAACAGAGGGGTGACGTGTGCTCTTTTTGGCTGATTGAAGACCAGACGCGCCGCTGCGTTCTGGACCATTTGAAGAGGTCTCACAGTACAGCCTGGAAGACCAGTTAGAAGGGCGTTGCAGTAATGGAGGCGGGAGATGACAGTAGATTGCACCAGGAGCTGGGTGGCATGTTGTGTTAGGTATGGTCTGATCTTTCGTATGTTATACAGCGCAAAGCGGCATGAACGAGCAACAGAGGCAACATGATCTTTAAAGCTCAGGTGTTCATCAATCACAACACCCAGATTTCCAACTGCCTTTGAAGGAGCCAGAGATAGGAAGCCATTTTGGATTGAGATATTGTGCTGTATGGATGGTTTTGCTGGGATGACAAGTAGTTCAGTTTTAGAGAGGTTGAGTTGGAGATGGTGGGATTTCATCCATTTTGAGATGTCAGAGAGACAGTTTGATGTTCGTGCAGAGACAGTGTGGTCGTCCGGTGGAAATGGCAGATAAGAGCTGGGTGTCGTCTGCATAGCAGTGGTAGGAGAAGCCATGTGATCAAATGATCTCACCCAGTGAGGTGGTGTATATGGCAAAGAGAAGAGGTCCTAGTACAGAGCCCTGGGGGACTCCTGTGGCAAGATGGTGCACGGTAGAGGATTGTCCAAGCCAAGATACACTGAATGATCGTCCTGTGAAGTACGATTCAAACCAGGCGTGTGCTTTCTCTGTGATGCCCATGCTAGAGAGTGCTGACAAAAGGAAGCCATGGTTGACAGTGTCAAATGCAGCCGATAAGTCGAGCAGGATAAGCACTGAGGATTTGCCTGTCGCTCTAGCTTCTTTTAAGGATTCCGTCACTGTTAACAGAGCAGTTTCAGTGGAGCGGTCCTTTTTGAACCCAGACTGGTAAGGGTCAAGCAGACAGTTTTGTGAGAGGTAGTCTGTGATCTGCTTGAAAGCCGCCCTTTCAATGATTTTGGACAGAAAAGGGAGGAGTGAGAAAGGTCGGTAGTTCTCCACATGATTTGGAGGAAGAGATGTTTTTTTTTTTTTAGCAGCGGTTTAACCTGAGCATGCTTGCAAGTGGGATATTGTGGCCACAGGGGGCTGGGTGGCCTAACATTAACCCTGTAAAATGTCATTTTAGCACCAGTCGGCTCAAGATGATTTAAAAATATTAAAAAGTTACAAAGGATCCCTTTAAAGAGCAAGTCACCCCCAAATCAACATTTTTTGCTGATAAACTATTTGAGTGAGTCTCTAATCGTGCTGTAAACACGTGTAGATGCACTTTAGTGCATCTTAGTTCAAATTTAAAATTTGTGCCTAAAACGGTAAGTGTTGTGCCGTTGTCAGGTAAAAACTGTGCACTGCATTTAAATTAAATCTGCCATTGCTATTGGCCAAGAGGTACACTATGACGTTAGCTGGTACATTATGATGTCACAATGTCATTGTGAGTTTGTGTGTGTGTGTGCGTGTGTATTTGTTAGCGGTTCTGCCCTCTCAGTCTGCTAGGCAACAGCATTTGTTGCATTTTTCAAACAGGAAGTGTGAGGGGAGTAAGACTCTGGTAGGGGGTGACTTGCTCTTTAAGCAGCTTTCAATTTTTTTCATGGAAGAATTGCGTCAAATTTACTCAACAGACTGACCCTCGAGAATATCAAAGATTTTTTTAAATGTTTGTTTCTTTACATAATTTCTACCAATGAAAGCCTTCCATAGCAAAATACCCAGGCTGAAACTTTTTCTTCATTTTAAAAGTTAATAAAATAAACGTGATTACTCAGTGGGCTTAACCCTTTGATGCATAATGGTCAGTACAGTGGACAGGTACTCAAAATTGTTATTTATTTATTTTTGCTATTAAACACAGCTGTTGAAGACTTTATTGCATGTGAGCCCCTCCATTTGGGCTTCAGCAAGTCAAGCCAACATATTTCATGTTCAGAATGCACGCTGTCCACTGAGCTGGACATGTAATAAATTATTTGTAAATTAACAAAATCTTACAAAAAATATTTGTTGAAATTTGTTTCATTCACACCTAAAGATGAATGAAAAAAATTGTTTAAAAAATCATGGTTGAAGATTTCATAATTCATGCATCAAAGGGCTCTTCCATAGATATTTCTCAGAATGAAGATATTTTTGAGGACTGAGGAAACATCGGTTGACTTTATGAAGTAAAATCTGATCCACATAAAAATCTTCCCACAAATTTATTATCAATAACAAAGCAAGTGGAGAAACCATTTCTAAAAGGTCTTTCTCCTTTTGTTTGTGCATCATTAAGTTATTTGATGGACTTAATGGGACCAGATTTCCTTCTGTAATAAGGCCAGTTGTTAATGGGATGTAAACAGCCTGAAGGCTGAACCAGTACATTCTCTCAGCAGGAACAGGCTGCGTGCTCCTCATCGCACGGCGGGCAGGCAGCTCATTTCTAAATAACCCCCAGCCAGTTATGACTCCCTCCTCCGGACCAACAGCTCCATCTGGAGCAGTTGAGGTCATTCCTTGTTCTCCTTCATCCCGCGCTGAAGCACAACACAAACATGGAGGGACGACAAAATGTCTCCGAATCGCGTCTGGAGGACGTTTTTATTTTTATCGCAGTGTCATTCATCTCAAACTTTTTTCAATAAAAAGTTTAGAGGGAAGAAAATGTATTTTATAATTTACTGAAATAAAATAAAAAAATACTTCAAAGTCACGTGAATCTTTAGACACAGAAATTTGGAGGCAGTTGTTGAAAGTAAATCCTTAAATTAGTGTCAAGATAATTACTGCACTTTTAAATCAACTTGACAAGTTATAAAAAACACATTTTTATTTCTGGGTTGAGCTTCTGCTTCATTTGAATGCTCTGAAATCCAAACTATTCACATAAAAAAGTAGACAAACGCAGCGACGTGCAGGTGGTTTTGAAGCTTCGTACCTCTTATTTTAAGTAATATTTAAAAACGTGTGCTTTGTAGGCCAGATGGGGGCTCTACATCAACCGTTTGTTTATGAGAAAACTTCTGATGATTTTCTCACAGTGTGCAAATGCTCCATGCCACAAGAACACACGCAGCAGATTTCCATTTCGAACAGGAGGAGGAAGCAAACAGAGCGTCCTCGAGCTGCGACTGAGAGTTGTGCCTTGTGAGACCGAGGGTGTGGCTGCGAGCACCAGCCTGTTTATAGCTGCTCTTATCTTCTAAACGGGGAAACTCAGAGCAACAGCTGCACCCAACACCAGCTCATACCCCCCCCCCCCCCACCCCCCACCACCACCACCACCCCGAACTCAACAAAACTTTTCTCCAAGCTAAAACTCCAACTGCTGACGTATAAAACAAGCCGCGGCTACCCTGGGGGGTTCAACAACACCAACTCGGATGAGCCGCATCACGGATCACCAACCGGTGGCCCTCGGGCCAAATCTGGCAAGTAGAGTACTAAACTATTAATACATGATGAAATATCTGATGCAGATATCGATTTTAGCTCAGCTCAGAAAGGTTAACGACGTTTAGCCGGTTCCAGCCAGTTCCATTTAACATCTATGGCTTTTATGAGACATTTACACCAAATCCAGCCCCCCAAAATGAACACTTTAGAGTGTTTTCAACACAAAATATCTCTTCGGGATTTAAGTCTAAACTTCGTCGTCATCATCGTCGTCTTCCTCCGCTTATCCGGGTCCGGGTCGCGGGGGCAGCATCCCAACTAGGGAGCTCCAGACCGTCCTCTCCCCGGCCACCTCCACCAGCTCCTCCGGCAGGACCCCAAGGCGTTCCCGGACCAGATTGGAGATGTAACCTCTCCAACGTGTCCTGGGTCGACCCGGGGGCCTCCTGCCGGCAGGACATGCCCGAAACACCTCCCCAGGGAGGCGTCCAGGAGGCATCCTGACCAGAAGCCCAAACCACCTCAACTGGCATAGTTCAAATAAATTCCTTGAGTCCGTTTTTAATGATTCAAGCGCGAGGATTCGTTAAATGCGCCCTGCAGCCTTCAGCCTGCCTCCTGCACAACAACAAAAACACGTTGATCACGATTCATGTTCACATAATAATGAAGAAATTCTACAAGCAGAAAAAAGGGCCCAGTCGTCACCAACTATCCTGTTATTAGCATTTCCAGTACTACTGAGCACGTTGATGAAGTACATTACTGGTCTGCTGATCATAGTGTAACTGGATATATTAAGATACTGTATGTTATTTTGACTAGGATGATGAGTGATGTTAATACCACCTAAAATGTTACTGAAATATAGGTGAATTTTGTTCTATAAAATATGAATTAAGTTAAATATCAGATGGGAAAGAGGAAACTAGACAGCACCCATTGATTTAACACATATTATTTAGGCTTTTATAAGAAGATTCTGACATCGCAGCCTCATCATTTAGTTGTTTTATTTCACATCTTTAGCAGCAGACCACAGTCTTGTTTGTACAGATTAGTCAGAAGTGTGGCTCCTTCATTTGTTGCACTGACTATTTTTCACATGGTTTGTTCAGTAATAAAATGTGGCCTTTCTGGCAGTCTAGTTTTTTTATGTCAGTTTAAATTGCAAGTTCAGGGGCAATTCTAAAATATTTTGGATCATCATCTGCCGCTGGTCAGGATGCGAGTCACAGCCTTGACCCTTGAGGATGAGCTTCCACTTACATCCTCAGCTAATATGTCTCCAGAGTCGTCTGCAAAAATATCTGATAGTGAGGATAAAGACCTTGCTGCCTCTTTTTCCACCCATCATGAGCCTTCAGGTGAGGATTAACTCCATGTAGAACCGCCACTGTTCGTAAATACAGACGTTTGTATGATTCAGCTCTCAGAGATCGCCGTGATCAACATGTTGTTAATCATTCTTGGAGAGAAATAGCTCGCACTGTCGGAAAAGACGAGGACTCTTTTAAAAATGCTGGAATGCCATGTTGTAAACAGTAATTTTTACTTCTACTATGGTGTAGTGTTGGATGCATGCCGTAGAGCTCCATGCTGCCCCCTACAGTTTGGGAGAATATTGGCTCACCGCAGAGACGAGCCGCATGAACCATAAACGCTGCGAGTTGTGAAGCGCGTTCCATCCGCGAGCCGCATCACCGCGAGGAAAGTAAACGCGTCAAGCATAAACCAAGCTTTAGACTACCGCTTAGATGCTGTAGATTTAAGGAAGTACCTCAGCTGATGCAGAGTTGATGAACTTTTCACAGACAAGAAAGTCTTTAAAATATAAATATATGAAAACAAAACATGACATGAGAATAATACTCGTAAAACAACGTGTTTTAGCCGTTTGTCAGCTATAGGAGGACATTTATAAACAGAAACATGAAGTCGCCATCTTAAAAAAACAGAGCAACAGACTTTTTGTGTGGCATGCTTGTCAGCCACTAGACGGTGCCATCGGATAAGAGAAATACTCCGGAAAGAAGCTTTAAAAGCTTTTACGTGACTGGCTGAATTTGTTAAAAGTCCAACAGCTGTGATCTAATAACATGACGAGTGACTGCATGTTCTTTTCTCAGTGGTTTGAAGGACGTAACGGGCTAGTGCACCACCTGTCGATGTGCCAAAGTGTCTCTGAACACGACCCAACACACAACTTTCTCCCCATCTGAAGGCCAAACGTTTGTTTTTTCCCCATAACTTCTGAGAAAGCTTCGGTAAGAAGAACGCTTGAGTGACGTGTTCTGTAACGTGTCATGCTCCTGGACTTATTTCTGGCAGACCCATTTTCTTCCTGGGGGTGTCAGATGACAAACAGTTCACATAATGAGATGATTGACGCACAAACACAACACAACCGGACTGAACTGGAGCTTTACGTCTATACTGGAACATTTACGTGTCACGACATATTTAAACAATGAACTGCTCATAAATATGTGAAAGTAAGAACCCCATTCTCACTTAAAGAGCACGTCACTCCAAATCAACATTTTTTTGCTGATAAACTATATAAATGAGTGTCTGATTGTGCTGCAGACACATGTAGTCAATTATTTGGCACTTTAGTGCATCTTAGTTCAAATTTTTATATTCTAAACACCGTCGTCAAGTAAAAACTCAGCACTGCATTTGAATCGAAATCCACCATCGCTATTGGCTAAGAGTCACACAATGATGTTAGATGGTACATTATGATGTCACAGTGTCGTGAGTGTGTGTATATGTTAGCGGCTCCACCCTCTCGGACTGCTAGGCAACAGCATTTGTTGCATTTTTCAAACAGGAAGTGGGAGTGGAGTAAGAATCTGGCAGGGGGTGACTTGCTCTTTAAAGTTCTACATATAAGTAGGGATCTGAAAGTTTGGAAGCATAAGTATGACTGGGAGCATCAACCTGCAACGTCACAACCACAGCTTCAGCCATTCCAGTGCCAGCCGATGCTGACATCAACACGTTAGAAAAGTACAAAACCTGCGTGCAAACACTTTAGTGCAAATAGTCTCCTAAGCGTTTGCTGTCGCTGCTGTACGGCGCTCATTAATCTGCCTGGGATGCCACTGCACCACAGCTGGTGCAAAACGGTGTCACGAGCTACGGTCTGCATCAGCACGCAGCCACTCCGTCTACACACCGATTCAACCGCTTCCTTCTAAGCAGCCAACGCAGCGTTCAGCACAACTGAAACGTGCACAGTGTGTCACATGATGACCCACAGTAGCAACCAACCAGCGCTGCCTAATTGTTGCACCTGAAGCAGAAAAGGCTGTGGTCTGTCTCCAAGGACACGAGGTGGTTCGAATGTGACGGCGTACCGAGTTAAAAGAACGACTTAATTAGGAGGGAAAAATAAACCGGCCGCGGGGGAGTAGACTGTAAATGCACTCCACTCACCTTTGTGCCTCCTCACATCAGCAGACGTGAGGAAGATGAATGACAGCATCAGTAACACAGACAGAAGGGACTGGCAGACTGGTAAACACTGAAGGAAATACGGTGAGTGCTGGACTGGTGGGAGATAAGTGATGAGGGGAAAAGAGAGCGAATGAGGCTTAGTGAGAAATCAGCAAGTTGTGCTGGTGTTGCAGGACAGAGAGGAGGTGCAGCGGAGCCAGCCGAGTCGAGACTGCCTCTTAAAGGAACGCCTCTGCCTACAAGTTACTGTCGGCAGACGAGGTGTTCTGTCGACTGGTTGTGTGCACAAAAGGATGGACAGTCAGAGGGGAGGCAGCCAATGAGCGCGGGGGCAGAAAACAGATGATGGAGAGGAGGCACACCGGTGTGATGTCGTTCAGACGGAGCCATCAAGGACATCCGAAGCAGTAACCTTGCTTTTGTTGCGTTGATCACAACTAAAAGCAGAGATTAACGTAAAAGTCAGCCGTGTTTTACCTTTTATCTCTTCATTTCCTCACCAACACAGAAGGTCATTACACCAAAACACCATCCCAACATTAATATTTTAGTACAATCCAGCGTTCACGCGCTCAACTGCCACAACTGTCGCTTTGACAGAAAAGCTGGACAGCGTGCTCCCGTGTCCCTCGGCTCCGGCAGGGCAGGCAGAGGTGGGGAGCGCTCGCTGACACGGTGAAGAGACAGAACAGACTTACTGTAGGCAACAGAACACAAAGCAGAACCAGGCTTCGCTTCTCAACAAGCTAATTCCTGCACAGGCGACCGGCTTAGCTTAAACGACAAAGAGCAGCAACTTCAGTGAGAAAGGAGGTAAAACAAGCACGCAGATCGACCCTCAGCTACTTTAAAAGGTGTCTGCCTCACATGAAATTAACCTTTCTTTCATTTCTGAATATCTGACACTTCATAGTTAAAGACGCAGACGTTCAACAGGTCAGGCGACGTTACCTTTACTTCACATCCCGTCTGTGAACCAGAAGAGCGACAGCAAAATAAAACCATCCAGAGGTCTGATCTTGGACCTGTTGAGCTCCTGTGCCGTCGTCCTCTGTTGTCTCTGGCTCATCGTGTCCCCTTTCTGTCCCCCTCCACCCCACCCCATCCCCAAAGAGCCCGTGTGCGTCAGCTGCACCTGCTGCCTCTGCTTCACAGCAGGGAGGCGCGGTCGCTCACAACCCAAACATACACGCATTGTACAACACTAAGGTCAGTCAGCCTTGATGGGGGGGGGGGGGGGGGGGGGGTTGTCTCAAGAATGGCAACAACAAAGCATGTCTTCAAAGGTTCTCGGTGTAAACACACTTCAAACACGCTCTAGACTTCAGCTACGGACAGGACAACACAGCTGATCAACTTCCATGAAGTGAAATCTATTATTTTAATCAACTTCTTTTTCCTCTAATGCAGAAGGTGCCCCATCCTGGTCCTGGAGGCTTGGTATGCAGCATGTTTTAGTTGTTTTTCTGCTCCTACACCCATCAATCACCTGTTCAGCAGCTCATCAAGCTCCGCAGAGGCCTGTTATTCACCTAGTGATTAAAATCAGCTGTGTTGTGGCAGGGAAACAACTAAAACATGCGGGATGGCAGCCCTCCAGAACCAGAATCGGCACCCTGCTCTAAAGCCAACAAAAAGCTTGTCCTTTACCTATTTAAACTTAAAGAGCAAGTCACTCCAAATCAACCTTTTTTCTGATAAACTACATAAATGTGTGTCTGATCGTGCTGCAGACACGTGTAGTCAGTAGTTTAGCACTTTAGTGCACTTTAGTTCAAATTAAAATGTTCTGCCTAAAACTGTCGGCGTTGCGCCGTCGTCAGGTAAAAACTCTGCACTGCAGTTGAATTTAAATCTGCTATCGCTATTGGCTAAGAGGTACACGGTACATTATGATGTCACAATGTCGTGAGTGTGTGTATTTGTTAGCGGCTCCGCCCTCTCGGACTGCTAGGCAACAGCCTTTAAAGAGCAAGTCACCCCCCTACCAGATTCTTACTCCACTCCCACTTCCTGTTTGAAAAATGCAACAAAGGCTGTTGCCTAGCAGTCCGAGAGGGCGGAGCCGCTAACAAACACACACACAGGCTCACAACGACATTGTGACATCATGTGGTACCAGCTAACGTTCTAGGGTACCTCTTAGCCAATAGCGATGGCAGATTTAAATTCAACTGCAGTGCAGAGTTTTTACCCGACAACGGCACAACACTGACAGTTTTAGGCAGAACATTTCAATTAGAACTAAAATGCACTAAAGTGCAAAACGACTGACTACACGTGTCTGCAGCACGATTAGACACGCATTTATATAGTTTATCAGAAAAAAGGTTGATTTGGAGGTGACTTGCTCTTTAAAGCATAGCCACTGCAATAATTGGGTATCAAATACACAGTTAAACTTAAAATAGACTGAATTTCTGTCCCCGTATAAATATAAATAACAATAATAAGTCATTTGTGTAAACATTCATCAAAGTTGTCACTGTGGAATTTCACGGTTTAATGAAGGAAGCCGGAGCTTTCAAACTGGAAAGACTCGTCGTAGTAGTGTTGCGTTTAGGTCGGCATATTTGTCCTTGGATCACAGCCCGTTCCCTCCCTTATACACCTTATAGATTTGTTTGTTGTGTTCATCGCCTCTTAAAGGCTGTTAGATGGAGTTCACGATATTTCACACTTTCTAACTTTAATACAAACAGCTGGTGTGGAGAATCTGACCAGTCACTCAGGAGTGGCTTCACCGCTGTCTGGTTTCTGAAAGCTTGTTTTAAAGTTTAACTAGAAAGAGAGCCATACTTCCCTCCTGAAACAGGAGTAGAGGGGTGATGCAGGTGGTCCATGTTAATTCTTACAGGGGGGGACGTTCTCTCGCGTATGTACCTTCAACTGGTTGCACGACGATGCTGAGAGCTGGATTACAGGTGCTGGCCAGTAAATTAGAATATCATCAAAAGGTTGAAAATATTTCAGTAATTCCATTCAAAACGTGAAACTTGTACATTATATTCATGCAATGCACACAGACCAATGTATTTCCAATGTTCATTACATTTAAATTTGATATTCATAAGTGACAACTAATGAAAACTCCAAATTTGGTATCTCAAAAAATTAGAATATTCTGAAAAGGCTGAATATAGAAGACACCTGCTGCCACTCTAATCAGCTGATTTACTCAAAACACCTGCAAAGGCCTTTAAAAGGTCCCTCAGTCTTGTTTTGAAGGCACCACAATCATGGAGAAGACTTCTGACTTAACAGCTGTCCAAAAGACAATCATTGACACCTTGCACAAGGAGGGCAAGACACAAAAGGTGATTGCTAAAGAAGCTGGCTGTTCGCAGAGCTCTGTGTCCAAGCACATTAACAGACAGGCGAAGGGACGGAAAAAATGTGGTAGAAAAAAGTGTACAAGCTCTAGGGATAACCGCACCCTGCAGAGAATTGTGACGACAAACCCATTCAAAAATGTGGGGGAGATCCACAAAGAGTGGACTGCAGCTGGAGTCAGCGCTTCAAGAACCACCACGAGGAGACTCATGAAAGACATGGGATTCAGGTGTCGCATTCCGTGTGTCAAGCCACTCTTGAACAAGAAACAGCGCAAGAAGCGTCTCGCCTGGGCCAAGGACAAAAAGGACTGGACTGATGCTGAGTGGTCCAAAGTTATGTTTTCTGATGAAAGCAAGTTCTGCATTTCCTTTGGAAATCAAGGACCCAGAGTCTGGAGGAAGAGCGGAGAAGCACAGAATCCACGTTGCATGAGGTCCAGTGTAAAGTTTCCACCGTCAGTGATGGTGTGGGGTGCCATGTCATCTGCCGGTGTTGGCCCACTCTGTTTCCTGAGGTCCAGGGTCAATGCAGCCGTCTACCAGGAAGTTTTAGAGCACTTCATGCTTCCTGCTGCTGACCAACTTTATGGGGATGCAGACTTCACCTTTCAACAGGACTTGGCACCTGCACACAGTGCCAAAACCACCAGCACCTGGTTCAAGGACCATGGTATCCCTGTCCTTGATTGGCCAGCAAACTCGCCTGACCTTAACCCCATAGAAAATCTATGGGGTATTGTGAAGCGGAGGATGCAATACGCTAGACCCAACAATGCAGAGGAGCTGAAGACGACTATCAGAGCAACCTGGGCTCTCATAACACCTGAGCAGTGCCACAGACTGATCGAGTCCATGCCACGCCGCATTACTGCAGTTATTGAGGCAAAAGGAGCCCCGACTAAGTATTGAGTGCTATACATGCACATTCTTTTCATGTTCATTCTTTTCAGTTGGCCAACATTAGAGAAACAAACATTTTTTCATTGGCCTTTAGAATATTCTAATTTTTTGAGATACCAAATTTGGAGTTTTCATTAGTTGTCACTTATGAATATCAAATTTAAATGTAATGAACATTGGAAATACATTGGTCTGTGTGCATTGCATGAATATAATGTACAAGTTTCACGTTTTGAATGGAATTACTGAAATATTTTCAACCTTTTGATGATATTCTAATTTACTGGCCAGCACCTGTAAATGCGAGGGGAGGCACAGAAAGGAAGTCGTGGTATGAGTGTCAACTTAACAGCAAAGTCAGAGTGATGCAAAGCTTCTCTTTCTGTTGAGGGCGACCTAAATCCTTTCAGCAAACTGAAGTGCCGTTAAGGATCTTGTAAGCGTGCCGACTGTCTGCGCTGAATCCACGTGATTAACTCTCAACACCGGAACGGAGGAGCAAAAGACACCGCGGACAAAGACGACCACTCATGCGACCGCATGCACGAGAACAACACGGACACTCGTTTTGTGATGATTCAATGCAGAGATTTACCTCCACCCCCGCTTGAACAACTCATCGCTCAAGAACCACAAGGACACTTGCATTCCAGGTGAGAAATCATCTGGGTGTATTTTATTACCAGCATAAATAAAAATGAGAAGAAGTAAAAGAATTACTGACATCTAAAGCGCTCGAGTGTAAAACTGTGGACTGGCGATTCAAATACCAAAGCAAAAGACAAAAAGAAACAGCTGATAGACCAATACTTCTTTTCAGTTCCTGCTCAGCTCATTTCTCTGAATATTTAAAGTTTCCAAGAACTTAAAGTCACATTTACCTTGTTTATGTGAAGCAGGTGCAGCTTGGAGTGTCTGATGTAGAATATCCAAGCTCTGTGCTGTCTCCCGCCTGCTTTCCTACGCACAGTAGTTATGTTTATGTTTATGTATTTAGCAGACGCTTTCGTCCAAAGCTACTGACAAGTTGCGTTGTTATGGCCACGGAGAAAAGTTGGTTAAACACGTTAGCTAAGATGCACCACTTTAAATTAGCTCGTCACAGCCCACGTGAACATTGGACATATTTAAGCGTTGGTCGCAGTAATGCTAACTCCAGAACGATGCTAGTCTGAGCCGCTGCTAATGTTCTTGTTGGACGAGAGAAAAACAACAAAGAAGAATGTAGAAGCACCAGTTAAGTTCCAGGATGTACTGGGAATATCCCATCGATCCAAAGATTCCGGTCCTTGTACTCTTCCCCGTTCAATCGCACCCCCACCCACGGACATCGGCCCCACACTCATTTCCTCACTCGTCCGCAATCCGTCCCCCGCCCCACAACCTGCTCACTTTGTTCACCCTTCGAACCCCCCCCCCCCCCTCTCAAACAAAAAGAAAAAACTAGTTCACAATGGTTTTGTACATAAGATAATCACCAACTAATTACAACTTTTCAGTTTTCTGAAAAAGATTTTTTAAATCGTATGTAGAGCTGCATCATATATCGTGAATATATCGTTATCGTGATATCGGCATGTGCAATATGCATATCGCAAAGAACAGATAAAATATCGCAATGAATGGTCAGCTCACATGTTTGCTACACATGAT